CTTCGAAGCTTGCTATCGGGCATCTTGGGGAGGGGTTTCGCATAGCAGACGAGCTCAACGCCTTTCCTACTCGAAGTTCCATATTGGGCATCGTGAGGCTTCTCGCAGAGCAGACGAAATCAAACGCCCTTCCTCTTCGAAGCTTGCTATCGGGCATCTTGGGGAGGGGTTTCGCATAGCAGACGAGCTCAACGCCTTTCCTACTCGAAGTTCCATATTGGGCATCGTGGGGCTTCTCGCAGAGCAGACGAAATCAAACGCCCTTCCTCTTCGAAGCTTGCTATCGGGCATCTTGGGGAGGGGTTTCGCATAGCAGACGAGCTCAACGCCTTTCCTACTCGAAGTTCCATATTGGGCATCGTGGGGCTTCTCGCGGAGCAGACGAGATCAAACGCCCTTCCTCTTCGAAGCTTGCTATCGAGCATCTTGGGGAGGGGTTTCGCATAGCAGACGAGCTCAGCGCCTTTCCTACTCGAAGTTCCATATTGGGCATCGTGGGGCTTCTCGCAGAGCAGACGAAATCAAACGCCCTTCCTCTTCGAAGCTTGCTATCGGGCATCTTGGGGAGGGGTTTCGCATAGCAGACGAGCTCAACGCCTTTCCTACTCGAAGTTCCATATTGGGCATCGTGAGGCTTCTCGCAGAGCAGACGAAATCAAACGCCCTTCCTCTTCGAAGCTTGCTATCGGGCATCTTGGGGAGGGGTTTCGCATAGCAGACGAGCTCAACGCCTTTCCTACTCGAAGTTCCATATTGGGCATCGTGGGGCTTCTCGCAGAGCAGACGAAATCAAACGCCCTTCCTCTTCGAAGCTTGCTATCGGGCATCTTGGGGAGGGGTTCGCATAGCAGACGAGCTCAACGCCTTTCCTACTCGAAGTTCCATATTGGGCATCGTGGGGCTTCTCGCGGAGCAGACGAGATCAAACGCCCTTCCTCTTCGAAGCTTGCTATCGGGCATCTTGGGGAGGGGTTTCGCATAGCAGACGAGCTCAGCGCCTTTCCTACTCGAAGTTCCATATTGGGCATCGTGGGGCGTCTCGCAGAGCAGACGAAATCAAACGCCCTTCCTCTTCGAAGCTTGCTATCGGGCATCTTGGGGAGGGGTTTCGCATAGCAGACGAGCCCAACGCCTTTCCTACTCGAAGTTCCATATTGGGCATCGTGGGGCTTCTCGCAAAGCAGACGAAATCAAACGCCCTTCTTCCTCTTCGAAGCTTGCTATCGGGCATCTTGGGCAAGGGTTTCGCATAGCAGACGTGCTCAACGCCTTTCCTACTCGAAGTTCCATATTGGGCATCGTGGGGCTTCTCGCAGAGCAGACGAAATCAAACGCCCTTCCTCTTCGAAGCTTGCTATCGGGCATCTTGGGGAGGGGTTTCGCATAGCAGGCGAGCTCAACGCCTTTCCTACTCGAAGTTCCATATTGGGCATCGTGGGGCTTCTCGCAGAGCAGACGAAATCAAACGCCCTTCCTCTTCGAAGCTTGCTACGAGCTCAACGCCTTTCCTACTCGAAGTTCCATATTGGGCATCGTGGGGCTTCTCGCAGAGCAGACGAAATCAAACGCCCTTCCTCTTCGAAGCTTGCGGGCATCTTGGGGAGGGGTTTCGCATAGCAGACGAGCTCAACGCCTTTCCTACTCGAAGTTCCATATTGGGCATCGTGGGGCTTCTCGCAGAGCAGACGAAATCAAACGCCCTTCTACTTCGAAGCTTGCTATCGGGCATCTTGGGGAGGGGTTTCGCATAGCAGACGAGCTCAACGCCTTTCCTACTCGAAGTTCCATATTGGGCATCGTGGGGCTTCTCGCAGAGCAGACGAAATCAAGCGCCCTTCCTCTTCGAAGCTTGCTATCGGGCATCTTGGGGAGAGGTGTCGCATAGCAGACGAGCTCAACGCCTTTCCTACTCGAAGTTCCATATTGGGCATCGTGGGGCTTCTCGCAGAGCAGACGAAATCAAACGCCCTTCCTCTTCGAAGCTTGCTATCGGGCATCTTGGGGAGGGGTTTCGCATAGCAGACGAGCTCAACGCCTTTCCTACTCGAAGTTCCATATTGGGCATCGTGGGGCTTCTCGCAGAGCAGACGAAATCAAACGCCCTTCCTCTTCGAAGCTTGCTATCGGGCATCTTGGGCAAGGGTTTCGCATAGCAGACGTGCTCAACGCCTTTCCTACTCGAAGTTCCATATTGGGCATCGTGGGGCTTCTCGCAGAGCAGACGAAATCAAACGCCCTTCCTCTTCGAAGCTTGCTATCGGGCATCTTGGGGAGGGGTTTCGCATAGCAGACGAGCTCAACGCCTTTCCTACTCGAAGTTCCATATTGGGCATCGTGGGGCTTCTCGCAGAGCAGACGAAATCAAACGCCCTTCCTCTTCGAAGCTTGCTATCGGGCATCTTGGGGAGGGGTTTCGCATAGCAGACGAGCTCAACGCCTTTCCTACTCGAAGTTCCATATTGGGCATCGTGGGGCGTCTCGCAGAGCAGACGAAATCAAACGCCCTTCCTCTTCGAAGCTTGCTATCGGGGCATCTTGGGGAGGGGTTTCGCATAGCAGACGAGCTCAACGCCTTTCCTACTCGAAGTTCCATATTGGGCATCGTGGGGCTTCTCGCAGAGCAGACGAAATCAAACGCCCTTCAAGCTTGTATTGGGCGCATCGCAGACGAGCTCAACGCCTTTCCTACTCGAAGTTCCATATTGGGCATCGTGGGGCTTCTCGCAGAGCAGACGAAATCAAACGCCCTTCCTCTTCGAAGCTTGCTATCGGGCATCTTGGGGAGGGGTTTCGCATAGCAGACGAGCTCAACGCCTTTCCTACTCGAAGTTCCATATTGGGCATCGTGGGGCTTCTCGCAGAGCAGACGAAATCAAACGCCCTTCCTTTTCGAAGCTTGCTATCGGGCATCTTGGGGAGGGGTTTCGCATAGCAGACGAGCTCAACGCCTTTCCTAGTCGAAGTTCCATATTGGGCATCGTGGGGCTTCTCGCAGAGCAGACGAAATCAAACGCCCTTCCTCTTCGAAGCTTGCTATCGGGGCATCTTGGGGAGGGGTTTCGCATAGCAGACGAGCTCAACGCCTTTCCTACTCGAAGTTCCATATTGGGCATCGTGGGGCTTCTCGCAGAGCAGACGAAATCAAACGCCCTTCCTTTTCGAAGCTTGCTATCGGGCATCTTGGGGAGGGGTTTCGCATCGCAGACGAGCTCAACGCCTTTCCTACTCGAAGTTCCATATTGGGCATCGTGGGGCTTCTCGCAGAGCAGACGAAATCAAACGCCCTTCCTCTTCGAAGCTTGCTATCGGGCATCTTGGGGAGGGGTTTCGCATAGCAGACGAGCTCAACGCCTTTCCTACTCGAAGTTCCATATTGGGCATCGTGGGGCTTCTCGCAGAGCAGACGAAATCAAACGCCCTTCCTCTTCGAAGCTTGCTATCGGGCATCTTGGGGAGGGGTTTCGCACAGCAGACGAGCTCAACGCCTTTCCTACTCGAAGTTCCATATTGGGCATCGTGGGGCTTCTCGCAGAGCAGACGAAATCAAACGCCCTTCCTCTTCGAAGCTTGCTATCGGGCATCTTGGGGAGGGGTTTCGCATAGCAGACGAGCTCAACGCCTTTCCTACTCGAAGTTCCATATTGGGCATCGTGGGGCTTCTCGCAGAGCAGACGAAATCAAACGCCCTTCCTCTTCGAAGCTTGCTATCGGGCATCTTGGGGAGGGGTTTCGCATAGCAGACGAGCTCAACGCCTTTCCTACTCGAAGTTCCATATTGGGCATCGTGGGGCTTCTCGCAGAGCAGACGAAATCAAACGCCCTTCCTCTTCGAAGCTTGCTATCGGGCATCTTGGGGAGGGGTTTCGCATAGCAGACGAGCTCAACGCCTTTCCTACTCGAAGTTCCATATTGGGCATCGTGGGGCTTCTCGCAGAGCAGACGAAATCAAACGCCCTTCCTCTTCGAAGCTTGCTATCGGGCATCTTGGGGAGGGGTTTCGCATAGCAGACGAGCTCAACGCCTTTCCTACTCGAAGTTCCATATTGGGCATCGTGGGGCTTCTCGCAGAGCAGACGAAATCAAACGCCCTTCCTCTTCGAAGCTTGCGGGCATCTTGGGGAGGGGTTTCGCATAGCAGACGAGCTCAACGCCTTTCCTACTCGAAGTTCCATATTGGGCATCGTGGGGCTTCTCGCAGAGCAGACGAAATCAAACGCCCTTCCTCTTCGAAGCTTGCTATCGGGCATCTTGGGGGGAAGTTTTCGCATAGCAGACGAGCTCAACGCCTTTCCTACTCGAAGTTCCATATTGGGCATCGTGGGGCTTCTCGCAGAGCAGACGAAATCAAACGCCCTTCCTCTTCGAAGCTTGCTATCGGGCATCTTGGGGAGGGGTTTCGCATAGCAGATGAGCTCAACGCCTTCCCTACTCGAAGTTCCATATTGGGCATCGTGGGGCTTCTCGCAGAGCAGACGAAATCAAACGCCCTTCCTCTTCGAAGCTTGCTATCGAGCATCTTGGGGAGGGGTTTCGCAGAGCAGACGAGCTCAAACGCCTTTCCTACTCGAAGTTCCATATTGGGCATCGTGGTGCTTCTCGCAGAGCAGACGACATCAAACGCCCTTCCTCTTCGAAGCTTGCTGTCGGGCATCTTGGGGGGGGGGGGGGTTTCGCAGAGCAGACGAGTTGAAACGCTTTTCCTCTTCGAAGATCCAGATTTGGCATCGTGGGGCTTTTTCGCAGAGCAGACAAATTCCAACGCCCTTCTTCTTCGAAACTTGCTATCGGGCATTTTGGGGGGGAAGCCTTTCGCAGAGCATACGAGCTCAATCGCCCTTCCTCTTCGAAGTTCCATTGTGCACTCCTTCGAACTGAAAGCTGAGGCCTCGGAGACCCCTGATTATTTTCTTTTTGTTCATGTTCATGCCTTTGTCGATTGGCTGGTGCATTTGTACACAATTGCCAACGAATCTAGAATCTGGAGTCCTAGTTGCAAAGTCCTACCGGTAGGAGAGGATCCCCTTCAAGCTGCCAGCTTTGAACGCACTTCGTGGAGCTCCTGCCCCTGAAAGACCTTCAAAGCCCTTCAACGCATATCCTCAAAAGCTTCTCAAAGCCAAAGCCACCTCCCAAGGCTTCCCAGGCACCCTCAAATACTGAAGCCGAGCAGCTCCCTGAGCGCTTCAGGCCGGAGGAAGCCCATCCTGCTCCCACTCTTTAAATCGCTTAAGCGAAACTGCTTCGTGGAACGTGCGTGTGTTGCCCTGCTCTCGCTGGGCGCCCGAGCGCATCCAGGCTGGTGCCCTGCTCCTCCCGGATCGAAAATTGGCTTCAGCTGCTACCCTTGCCCACTTCACGAAGTAAACGCGATACCCGAACTCGGGCTGCAGTCACTGAACGCGGCCCGCAGTGGAAACAAACCGATGGAATACCAGTCACCCTAAACCCGATAAACCTCTCACAGATTCGCGTAGATCGCATATCCTCTCGGGTCCTCCAGGAGCCCCTCGAGGCGGCCCCAGGTGTCCACGAGGCGCATCTCCACGGGCTTCCAGAGGATGGGCCTCTGAAGTATAGGGTCTTTAAAAGGTCTTTGGGGGATACTGTAGGGTCTTTAGGGTTTATAGGCGGATGTGGGGTTACCATAGGGTTTAGGGTTTAGGGGTGGGGATGGGATCTTTGTCGGATCAAGTTGAGAGCGCCAAGGCTCCTGCGAGGTGGAGCTCCTCAACTTGAGATTCGCAAAGGTGCTCCCACTCTACACCCTTTGCCCGTGTTCCATGTGGGAATTCCTGCATGAATTTCAGATCAATTTCGGGCTTTGCGTAGCTCCTGGAGACTTCCGCCGGATCATCCTGGGGAGCTGCCAGGTAGAGCCGAATATGCCTGAGGCGGCACATTCCCATGGAGCAGAAGCCCAAGCTGGGATCGGAATGGAGGGGATCTCTTGGGAGCCCTGCGCAGCGGTGAAAGGCACTTTGGCCTTCACGTTCGCCAGAAATGCACCTCTGGACGCCCACACGCCACATGCGGCCCACAGGCCCATTGGACCACTTCTCAGATGTTCATAAAAAGGGGTTCATTCAGGGGTCCAGAGTTCCATCCGAAATGAAAAGACCGCTTCGAACCTTGCAAACCGCTTGGGCAGCGTGCCGATAACATCTCGAAGCTCCTCCGACTGCATGAAACCTTGGTCCTGCGACGCACCAGAATGCACTTTGGAGCAGGGTGGGAGATGTCGGGCAGTCCTTCAGGGATGACCGGTCCACCTCAGAGCCAAAGACGGCTTTCTTTCACTCGAAGGATGAGCTTTCTCTTGGCTCTACTGCCCACTTCTGCTGAGACACGCCGGGACTGGCCAAGAAGTTGCCAATCTTGGTGTTCAAAGCCTGCTCGAGCGATGCGCATGGCAGTTGATGACACCAACGATGCATGTTAAGGGTGGGGCAGCCAGAGGCTGCGTGATGTGAGCCTCAGGAAATCAAACACAGTACCGAGTCATCGAGAAACTGCTGTGCTGAGGCGTCTGGCGGTGACGTTCGTTATCAGGGCTTCGCAAGCTGCCTGCCCGGCATTATTTACGGTCTCCAAAGGGCCTCCAACACGATATTGTGTCGCGCATGAGCATCATGAGCATGTCTAGATTGTCTAAATTTGTCTACCCTGGCCTTCAGCTCGGACTCGATGTCTTTCTTACTGTCCACCTGCTCTCGCAAAGAGCTTCAAAGAGGTCTCTTTTTTGAGACGCTGAGCCTCCCTGAGTCCCTTCGGCCCTGTGAATTTTGCGACTTGGGTTTGCCTCGGCATGGTAGACGGTGGGCTTTAGAATGCCCAAGATCCCATCTGGTAGCTTCAGGTTCAAAGCCTCCGGCAACGGGGGGGGGCAACATGGGGAGTCTCTCTTCTGGTGTCTTCTGCGCGCTTCACGAAAGAGGACAAATACGTTCTGAGGCTCTCCCAATCTCTCCCACTTGTTTAAGCCTCCCAGAGGTTCGCAAAGTTGAAGTACTTCTCGCTGACGACCTCGCGCCGCAGAATGTCTGCAGCATAGGAAACGACGTAAGGATGTAGCACGTCGCCAGAAAAAGCGCGATCTCTTTAGATGCTTTACAAACCAGATGCACAGCTTCCCACCATTGCCACGCGATTTCCCGGAGGGCCGGGGGGGAACGAAGACATGTGGAAGAACTGAACGCAAGCCCGGTCCCCATTGCCCTTGGTAACAGGATTACAACCCCCCCCCCCCCCCCCCCCCCCAACGACAATACGCTCCTGAAAGAGTTGCCACTCTCGAACTCAGTTTCTTCACCTCTTCTTCTTTTTCACATGGTCTCCACATAGTGGATAGTGGATACATCCCTGTCTGAGCTGCACGTTTTCCCTCACTCAGGTCTGCAAACCCTCAGATTTGCTGCACTCCGGCCGGCGACCTTTCAAAGCCCACGTCTTACAGGTCATCTCACCCGCCCATCCTCATGCAGCCAAAGATTCAGCAGCTCGTGATCGTTGGTGCACATTTTGTCGATGCTGCTCTGCTCTCAACAACTCTCCTTGCAGCACTCCATTGTCTTGTGGTCTCCAGACACCCTTGCTCTCATCCGCCCAGTGCCACCCGGTCTGAAATCTGAAGCCGAAGGCGAGGTAGCACCTGATCTTCATGAACTTGTGCCTCTGCCGTTCACGGCGTGTGGAGAAAAGTGTTTCCTTGCATCCTTTCCCTCCCTTCTACTATAGGCGGACGGTTTTTGTTTCACGTGCGGCTTGGCTTGTGGTGCTGCATGGCTTGGCTCCGCCTGGCTCGTGTGCCTCTGCCAGCAAGGACTGAGTGGCCAGACTGTGGGCGTCACACGGAGACCAACCGAGCAGGACCACAAAAGCACACACACATGCACTATATACTAGACATATACTAACATACAAAGACAGACAGCTCTGTTGCATAATGTGCACGAGTAAGTAGATTCTTCTGCAGAGCGCCTTTCGGCTCAGAGACGGCGCGCGAGGAGGGAGAGAGAGAAGGAGGAGCTGAGTTTAGAGTTTTAGTGAGAGCGCTTCTCGATGCTCCGGGAGGCGCACCAGCTCGCACTCAAAAGCGGCCACTTGCTCTCGGAGGAGCCTCGGGGGATCTCTTCTTGCTTCGCCATCTCGTAGACTTCACAAAGATCTCTGATGTTCCCGGCAGGAGGTGCTTCACCAGGAAGAGCTGAGAGTCCATCATCTGGACCAGGGGCTGGAACGCCTCAGGCGGGCTCCCAGAAGCTGCTTATCTTGCTTGCAGTCAGCTTTGGAATTGGCTTAGCGGCTTAGCGGCTTGGGTTTGCAGGACACCGCCAAGGGCCGCTTGATTTTTTAGCATGTTTAAGCATTTAGAAGTTGGAAAGGCAATGTCGCAATCTGAAGCTTCGCCTGCAAGCTTGCGTCGCAACTGGGCAGCGATCTTCTGGACAAATACTCTGAAGCCTCTGCTTGCGAGGAAGATGCGTAGCGACTCTTTTGCAGTGCCAGGACGCCAACTGTTTCAGCAAGAGCAGAGGGTCGCCTCTTTCAGGCTCCGCATGCACAGGTCCACGGCCTCTTGCGCGAGCCTCACATGCAGCGCGTTTGAGTGACAGTTCTTGCTCGAAACTCCTGAATTGCACCTTAAACAACAAATAGAAGAAACGGGAGGAAGGGGAGATTTTGGGGCGCGTGGAGAAGGAGCAACAACCAAGGCACCCTTGGAAGGTGGACATCTCCAGGACTCGGTAGATTTTGGCCTGACGCGGGGCGGTTGTCACGGTTGTCACACGTAAACGTAGGGAGTCACAATCACAATGCTCGCGACTACTCTCCTCCCCAGACAGCGAGCGTGTCTCTGCTTAAACAGAGCCTAATATGCCGAGCAGTTTTCCAGAGGTGAGCTGAGGGCAGTGCCAGGATGGAGAGTGTGCGTGGCAGCGTTGGATACCAGCCTGGCGAGCACCAGGCTCCCTGGGCATCATTTGGAAATCGATCGCGCCTCTCTGAAACTGCCCCATGGCCGAATCCTGCAGCAGCACATGCAGCACTCTGCTGGTACAGCACTCGATGACCAAAGATGAACCTACCCGCTGGCTGGACAGTTCGAATCCTGATCAGACTGATCAGAGGCTTGCATGGTGCTTCTGCACAGGATCGACCTGACGAGGAGCTAGTCCACTGGACGCAGATGCGCAAAGCGCACAAGTTCAAAGAACAAGCGAAGCGGATGCCGGCATAAGCTCAGCGGCCGCACGGGTAGTCCAAATCCGAGCTGCCGAGCCCGTACCTGTCCATCCCTCACCTAACTGGTGTACGGTGCGACTTCTCCCTCTGATTGATTGATTGATTGACTGCCTGTGGGCGCGAACGCCCTTGCGTCTGCAAGGCAACATAGGCTGCCCCAAGCTGTACGAGAGGCGACAGCACTCACACACGAAAGCTCCTCAAGAGCAGAGATGCACTTCTCCCTCTGCGACTAAGTAGTTACGGGCAAGTATTGAGGCTCTGCAAATGGCGCACCCCTTGATCTCTTCGCGTATGTACAGCTCCACCTAAGTTCGGCATGCCCGACGCCCACAAGCGCCGGCCGCAACTCCATGCAACTCCATGTGTGTCGTTTTTTCCATCTTTGGAATCTTTGGGGTCTCTACGCGGTAGATGAGCTTCTCCTGCACATCCTGCTCTGAGAACTTCAGCGAGAAACTAGGCGGCCGTCGACCGCGACGGTGATTCTGCCAGGTATACATACACACTGCACAGTCGTCCTTGTGCAGCCGATACACGACGCCAAGCACAGACACGTCCGTGTGCCTCAACAACGCTTCACGATGCTTCACGTCCGCACTTCAGGCGCACAAATGTTTTGCAGCTTCTCCGAGGTTGCGGCAGGCGATGTGGCTCCAACACATCCATTTGCCTGCTGACACTGTGCAATCTTGAGCGGCCATTGACTCAATGGACCTCAAAACAACTGAAGAAGTGTGAGTCTTCTCAGATTTTGCTTGCAAGCTGCAAGCAGTCAGCAATCTCCCGCAAGGAGTCGATGGAGTCGCAGGCCAGCACCTGCAAGTGGAAGAGCCAGCCATGAGATGGACGCAGATCATGAGATGGACGCATATAAGGCTTCCAGAGGTCACAAATGTCATAAGGCGTGGCTGACCGCCGAGGCGGATCAGTAGATCCGTCTCTGCTTGCGATGGGAGGTGATGCGCTAAGTCTCAGTCGAGAGGTCGCATCGTCCTTAAGCACCAAATTACCGCATGTTTGCACCCAGCCAGGACCTTCAGTGCTTGCCCAGTGACTGGTAGAAGGCGTCAGCGAGCTTGGTGAGAAGCGTCCGCAAAGCCTGGAAGAGCTCTTTCCGAAGCCAAGCTATAACTACTTAGGGCAGTGACAGTGAATGTGGGTGTTCTTGTGCGCAGGCACCTCCTGCTGATATCTCAGCTCGAAATACGCCTGGCCAATGTAATGGAGCTCCAGGCTTCCCCGGATTCCGCTGTGATCTTGCTGGGCTACAAAGAACGGGGGCGCCTCGAAGCACTGCTTCTCGAGCTGTGAAAGCTCGATGATGTAAGTACTTGCCTGCGAAGTCTAGACAGCACAGAGCTGAGCAGGGACGGGGGCGTGAGTCGGAAGTGCTGAAGGAACTCCAAGATGTACATGTGCTGACCAGTTTCATTCTTTACTGAGCCTTCTTGTTGCAGGCACTCTGTGGAAGTTGCCCCTGAGATTCCCAATCGATATTGAGGTTCTTTAACTTTAAAGTTTCAAGCATGGATGTTCCCAGTCATGGCACTGTCCTTGTTACCTCCACTTTCATACACCACTTTCTTGTCCCACGCATTATCCGTTGAGAACGAGAGAGAGAGAGAGAGAGAGAGAGAGAGAGAGAGAGAGAGAGAGAGATAGAGAGGGAGAGGGAGAGGGGGAGAGAGAGAGAGATAGCCGGATGGCCAGGCCGCCAGGCCTGCCGCGTGGCGGGCGCGAGCCTGCCATAAGCGACTATCCGGCCGACTCTGGGCTGACGCGAGTCGCCAGAGGCCCAAGCTGGCTCAGCTCCATGTCGCTGTGCACGATTGACCTGGACTTGACCCCCACGCAAGGAGACAGCGGATACATGAGCAGGACGTGTTTTTTGCTGTTCCTGCATGGGTCCTTTCCATGCATGCTGTCGATGCAGATGCTGATGAAATGCTGGGAGGACCGCTGCAGTTGACTGGAAACCTCAGGCTCCAAGGCGAACTGCATGGCGCGGTTTCACTTCGCCCTTCAGGCCATCGCTGGGATGGTCAGCAGCTTGAGCCGGAGGTGCACAAAGAAACCCTCGATCTCCTCCAGCGTCGCCTGTGACTCGCGATTTCGCAGAGTGTAGGGAGATGTAGGGAGTGTAGGGGCGCATCTTGTGAAAGCTTGACAAAGCTTGACCGATGGCCGTATAGGCCACTGAGATGCATGCGGCGTAGGTTTCATTCACCTCCACCCGCTTGTTCAGGAGGGAGAGCAAGGGCCTCTCAGCCCAGGAGATGAAACACTACAGGGTTTGTCGGTGATGTTCGCTTCGAAAGCCGCAGCTAGGTGCCTGTAGTTGGGGGCAGCTGCCCGGAACTTGCTGTAGAACACCTGGCGCGGATTGTGAAAGGCGCGCTTCGACCAGTGTGCAGCCAGCATCTCATCATCTGAGCGTGCAAAGTACTTGGAAGATCTTTGAAGCCCATCTTCCCAATTACCGTCTGCGAGGCATGCATGAGCAAGCTCCCTTTCTCCTCCTGCATGCTTGCTCTCCCCCAGAGGCTTAAGCCACCAGCGCCGAGGCGGTAGCGGAGACGTACCTCGGCGCATCTGGCTCGACAATAGGAAGAGTCAGGAAGTGCAACATAAGCTTCCGAAATGCAACCAGGAACTCCCCCAAAAACAAGGGGAGCACATCGGAGCTCCCAAGCATTCCGTCACTTCAGGACTCCGCTTTAACGCTAGACTCAGTTCTCGGGCCCCTGCTTCCAAGTGGCTGGCAAGGACTTCACACCTCGAATATTGTTGAAGAAGGTGCCAGGGGCTTAGGGCTTAAGTTGAAGAGACGGAGAAGTGTGAAAGCTGAGTTTCGAACGCTTGTAGTACCTGCGATGCTTCGCAAGTCTTCAGACCCAGAATACTAGGAGCTTGGTCATGAAACAGCAAGCGGCCCGTGCGGACAATAGGACAGAGAGAGACAGAGAGAGACAGAGAGAGACAGAGACGAGACAGAGAGAGAGAGAGAGAGGGAGAGAGACGGAGAGAGAGGGAGATAAAGAAGCGAGGGATGGAAGCAAACCGACAAAAAGAGAGGGCGAGTGAGGGAGAGTGACCAGGGTGACATGACAGAGGTATTTCCCGTGGCCTGTCACCTTTGCAGCCTTGGGCGAAAACTAGGTTGTTTTTTTGAATTTGCATTTGTTGTTTGCAGGCGTCTGGTTAGAGCTTCAGAGTTTGGAAAGCAGGCTTCTTGCGCTTTTTGGTTTGTGCTTAAAGGGTCTACTGTAGGTTTCTTTTGGCTGTTTTGGGTTTGCTTTTTTGGTTTTCGGGTTGAGGGGATGGTGGTTTTGAAGTAGCTCCTTTCGATGGCTGCAGGTTCTTCATAGCAAGCTTTGCACGGCTCAAAACATCCCCCCCCCCCCCCCCCCCCGGGGGGGGGGGGTTGGGGGGCCCGCAGCCCGCCCCCCGCCCCCAACCCTTTGCCAACACAATCCTCGAAAGATGGGTTTCAACAGGACTCAGGTCTTGAAGGCAGGATTTCGGCTTGCAAGCAGCTCTTTTCGATAGCACGAGGTTTTCCATAGCGAGCTTTGCAAGGCTGCTAGCGGGGGGGTTGCAATACAAGACAGGTTCTAGACTCCTGCGAGCTCGATGCGGTAGTGTTTCCATTACCAGGTCGACGCACAAGGCATGTGTGACTGTCCTGACATTCGCCACAGTCCTGGATAGGCTGGTCGACGGACAAAGCGACCACTCACTGACCAACAGGTTCGCGGACCGACCGACCGATCGACTGACGGGGTCGGCTAGTCGACGGACAAACAAACATGAAAACCACAAAAACATGAAAAAACAGACCGACGAGAACCCCCACCCAAGCCATGAACCCTGTTGTATCATGTAACTCTGAAGCTGTGCGAAAGCGGTGTCTGTTCACGGTCCACGCTAAATGCCATTTCGAGTCAGGACTCTACCCTACTTCAGCCTAGTAGTGAAGCGACGTAACTGCAGGAGCACGTAGGCACGGCACATTCATGTACGTTACGAGCCATGTCACACGACAATGAGAGACATGAGATAAAGCAAGGGGCTCTGACGGCATTTCTGCTGTAGAACGTCTTGCAGCTTTGGCTCTCTGGTTGCATGTGCAGAGTCGCAGCAGTGCATGGGCGAAAGCACTGCAGCCCAGAGAGTTGAGACCCAGCCTTTGGCATTTTCTTATTCATCTAGAAGTATTTGGTTCATGCGCGCTTTCTTGAATCATAAGATGAAAACAAACTCATGGTGAGGAGCCGCTTCTGCCAGCTTCTTATTGCTTGGTGGCAGGTTCAGATTTCACACACTTCATGGACTTTGTGAGCATGCAAACCCATCAGAGCAATTGCTTGCGCGAAGATACATATCTTCGTTGGATCATGTCATGGGGACAGCCGCTAGAATAGGTTCGCTCAGAACAATTATGCACGCAGAACCTGTCCCACCTTTTGGCCTGGGTTGTTTGTTCTAACCTTGTAAGCGTATGCGCGCACCACCAGCACTGTCACCTTACCAAGAAGAGAGATGGAGAGAGAGAGAGGGAGGGAAAGAAAGAGAGTGAGAGACAGAGAGAGAGCGAGAGAGAGAGAGAGAGAGAGAGAGAGAGAGAGTGAGCAAGCTTGATGCAACGCAGAGAGGGCACCTGGCAAGTCGGTGGATCCTGCTCTCGACCAGGATGAGGCGGAACTTGGCGTCCTTGTCCTTGCGGTTCTTGTCCAAGTGCTTTCGGATGGATACAGCCTCAGTCTGTCCCGCAGGGGCAGCATCCTGTAGAAGATAAGGCCAAGTTCTGGGGCGAGGGAACGCAAGGAGGGAATTGGGAACGCGAGCAACAAGGGCCGGGGTCCGGCTGCTGACTAAGAAACCTCTGGGTATATCAGCATGCATTCTGATGCACTCTGCTTCACACCGAGCCCGGCCTTCTTGATCAAGTAGTACAGATCCTCCACAGAGTCTCTCGAACTTTTGCTCTAGCAACTATATCAGCCACCGTACGAAACATTCACACAAACTACATCGGCTCAAGCTTGGAATCTTATCCACCCTGGCCAGGGTTTGTACGGGCCATACCCAGCCTCCGGCAGCGTTGGTGCCAGGCCGTTAGTTTTCAGGATTCGGAGGATGTGGTTTCCGGTCACATTCTTCACCTGCCAGCGCTTGCTGATAGTAGTGACAGGAAGGGAATGGATCAGCTTCCGCCGGTTCTGCTCGACTGCCAGAACCTGCTGCAATACAAGCACAGTAGAACCAATGGGGCACAGAACCTGCGGCACTCCGAAGCTATCTCGAAGAGTCACCTTGACAACAGAAGCTTCTGCGTGCCTTGATTGCCCACATGTGCCCTGACAGTGCTCAGGCTCCACTCAGGCATTTGAGAACCTGGCGCCGATCTGCGATGGCGTGAGGCCCTTCTTTGCAAGCTTGCAGATGTGCTCGGACACATCCTCTCTCTGGATGCTACTTCTAAGAGTCGAAAAATCAATCTGTGAGAGGCTCCCATCAAGAAGAAGTCATATGACCACTGCGTGACCTCTTGCTTTCCGACGCTTCATGTTGCGTCTGTGGATAAAGATACGTCAGGAGCTCAATCTCCTCCGGTTTCATCTTCAGCCATGTAGGCGGGGTCCTGCACTGTGGAGCGGCAACTCGTCTGTAAGTACAGTATGCAGCATCAGCAAGCCAAGCTCAGAAAAGATGTCAGAAAGCTCAATCCATTCCATCGTCAACATTCAATGAACTCCAGCCCCTGCTCCCCCACCCCACACACAAACACACCATCACCTTTCAATAACTTTCAACAAGACCGATTCATGAGGGTCCACAGCACTTACGACTTGATTCGATTCACGTCGTGAAAAGCATATCCATGAGGCCTCTTGTAGGGGATCGCCGAGCTGGCGATACCCTGCAAAGCACACCCTTGCCCGAACACATCTCTGCAAGCAAAATCACCAGCTGCAAAAGGATTTATGTGGTGTCCCGTCTTCTCTGGTCAATTCTTGCAGGCTACCAGGATCTAAGTTCAGCCATCAGAGTGTGGGGCATGGAAGGTGCGCCTTGCCCTTGCCATACATGCGACCCATCCTCCTCAGCGGAGTCGCGCGAAGCTCCCCCCAGATTACGAGTACAGAAGCCTGCAAGTCCGCAACTGCAGCCGTTGGACGTTCGACAACAAGCTGCTCTGCACACGTATTCGACAGTTTTCGAGTTGCACTTAAGAATCCCGTAGCTGAACCCCTTCATGCGAAAAATGTGCCAATGCCATCATGCCATCTGCGGCCGAGATTCGCAGAAGGTGCGCGGAGGCTGCGAGATGCTCGGAGATGCACGGAGAGAATGCGCGGGGAGCGCCAGCTTTTGCTTAGGATCTGCTTCCGAACCAAATTTGGCTTTAACGCGCAGAAAGTCGCCTTATCTGTCGCCTTATAAGGCCATGGTACAGCACACAGAGAAGGCTTTGCGACAGTGCGAGAACATCAACAACAATCATCTGCTGCAGCTTTAGGAGGACATGTGGGAAGCACCTGGTTGGACACGGAACCTTGTCCGGCATCCTTCAGCTGTTGTTCGACCTCAGACGGCAGACAACTTCGTCTCTGCTAGGTCCTGGGCCATGCCATGACAGTTGGAACGCTTTCTTCTGGGACATCGACTTGTGCGGCGCATCTCTCCAAGCTTTTCTGCAAACTGGAACCTCCAGGGTAACGTTTAGGCTGCAGGCTGGGTTATTGTAGACTCCTGCAGCTGCCCTTCGCTAGCTGCTGGCCAAACCAAAGTGCGAGCGACATCTCAAATTCAGATAACATGACAGCGTCTTAATAATCCGCCGCCGAGGCTGGGGAGCATCAAGCAAGGGCACTCACGCAAGGGCACCCCACCGCAGAGTTCTCTAATATCTCTAATCCTGCCCCGCCCTATCAGCCTACCGGTACCCCCCCTCCCCTACTCTCCAAAATAAGCTTTTCTGGCCGGCCGCGGATTTTCAATTGCCGAGGCCTCGGCATCTGGGACCGGGGCACACCAAATTCCACACCCTCGCCCCCCCCCCCCCCCTCCTCCCTCCCTACTCGTCCCTCCGTTCCCCGCACCTGTCCCAAACCAATGTTGACTGCCTGGTCTATACTGCACATGCCGTACATGCGTGTTCAATGGAACTTGGAATGCACCGAAATCGGCTGGCTCAGCTGCGCGCGCAAGGCTAGGCACGCCCGATTTCGAAGATGTTCGAACCTGAGACACTGGGAAAGAATGGAAACGACGCATTGCTACAGGTGCAGTAGCTCTATTAGTGCAAAGAACTCGATACACTCACCAACAAAAGAAAAACTATACCTCAGCTGCTGCTGGCGTCGAGGACCCGACTGGGACATGTAAGCATGCGCCTGGCCTCCGCACGCTGCGGTGTTCGTGAGGAAAGCGTGAGACATGCCAAATGATGCCACATGATGCCAAATTCTGATCCTGAGCTGATCCTGAGCTGGCTGCAGAAGTCTGGATGGGCCTGGCTATCGCATCCAGCAACTTTGGCGATCCAGTGTCGACACGAAGTCAATATAGAAATTCTCTCGCACGGAGATCAGCGACGCGAGATGCGCAAGACACATCATGCTGCCTCCAGGAAAGAAATAGAGCCATCGATCTTGTCAAGCACCTCAGCTCGTCAAGCGCGAGAACACAAAAGAATCGAAACAGCCCGGACTCCTACAGCCCGCAAATCCAGCACAGGTGGGTTCGCTGCGGACCCCAACTCTGTGTCCGCGCTCTCCGATGACCTCTCACTGCGTCAATGAACGACGCGCAAAGCTTTTTCTGAGGGTTGCGGTACAGACATGTAATCACTGTACATATGCACAGTATCCTCACAGACTGTACGGTGCAGCCTTTCTCTCCCTGTTCTCTGAATGGCCAGCTCCCGACGGCCCAAGGGCGCGGCGACGCCGTGGCGGTCTGGGTAGTGGGCCGAGTGGGCAGCAATGGAGGTTATGGAATTTAAGGAGGAAAAGAACAGAAAACATGTTTAGCGATGCAGCGGGGAAGACAGGCGACAAACTGCAGAGACGTGTGATCATCGGCAGTCGCTCAGCTCTCGTCAGCGGGCAATTCCCTTCTGCTGCCACGCGACCCCAGAGTTGGAGAGGAAGCCGTTGGCTGAATGGTGATCCAGCACGCACCTAAGGTGTTGGGCAGCTCAACGCTTCCATACTTCCATGAACTTCCATGTGCTGCCATTTTGGCCTACCAGGGCCTACCACAGTCTTTGTTGATGACCGATGTCGTCCATGGGTCCAGCTGTCAACTGTCAATCCAAGGCTGGGTATGAAAAAGTCTCTCCTCTGCCGGCAGCGTCACGTTAGAGACATGAATTGTTCATGAATAAAACAGTGGATGCTACTGTATAGTCTCAGCAATGGCATACTCTGAACCCCACCGCAACAAGCTTACGGCAGCAGCTGTTTACTCTATCCCTGGCGTCGGTGCTGGTGCAGTCGGACGGACGGATGTTGCGGTTGCAGCCGACAAGACTTTCACCTGGTGGCGATGGTGGCGACGCGCCGCCCGACCCGCGGCCGACTTTGCATTGCTTTCTGTCACCAAAAATGTCCCAGCGTCAGCTGCGAGGTGCGAACTGCTGGCAGTGCAAAAGACTCCCTGCAGTCCCCATCTGATCCCGAGATCGTGGCGCGACATCTGCCACACGATCGAAGTAATCGAGTGTGTCGGCCAAAGCCTTCAGCAAATCGCCCAGGGCTTTCCCCCTTGCTATAGTACAAGCAAGCCCCAAGATGCCTGCAGTGCATCTACAGTTACGCACATTTCATACAGCCAGCGGATCTCGTTGCAAAGGCGAAGCCACTGTGAAGCCGCCCCCCAGCAACCCCGTGACGGTCAGGCTTGCCTCGGCCTCTGCCGCCAGTCTCTCTTGATCCTGACAGAAGGGGACCATCCTCACACCCTTGCACCCGGCCCTTTTCTGACTCATGCCTCTCCCGACTCTTTCTCGCTTTAACGGAGCATACAGGAAGAAGGAGGCAGGGCCGCGGCCTTCACCATCTGCTCACACTGCTCATGCAGCGCCGTGGTCTTGCGGAGAACCTTGTCACAAAATCTTAGACAGCACACAACTTGGTGGCTGGTGCACGACGTTTGCGAGGCACGACGTTGCTAGGGGAACGACTCCCTTGGAAGCTTATCAGGCTTCATGAGGCCACTGAGCTTCGTGCATCGCATCTCTGCCGGTCCAGCTCTGTTAGCTGGTCCAAGACAGTATCGAGCCTTGAAGCATCTCTGAGAATTCGAATCTGCTAAGAGTGTGATAGGTAAACAGATAGCTTCATCCATGTAAGTCCCGGGCTCTCCACAGGCAGAGTCGCAGATCTGCTGGACGCGGTAGATCCTTCGCAGCTTGGCAAAAGAAAGCCTCCGAAACCCTCTGCGTCTGCTTCCCGCAGTCCAGCGCCAGCGTCCGCGACGTCGGGAGCCCTAGCAAGAGATGCCCCAGTCATGAACAACATTGAACAAAAACACCCCGTGCCCACCGAGATCCATTCTTTTGGTTATTTAGTCTCATTTTGCTTTGAGACTCGCACCTTGTATGCAAATGCGAAGTTGTGCCGGTGGATGGGTTTTCTTTTATCATACTACCAATCGAATGTCTTGATGGAAAGTCACGGTCTGTGAATGAGCATATTGGTTTGAAAATGGATGAATGCAGACATGATAAGTTTCTGGGGGTGATCTGCTTTTGTCGAGTGCTAGGTGTTGATCGGAATCTACGTGCAAGTGATACGATCTGGGGCAATAACTCAAACAATGAGATTCGCGGTGTGTGGAGGGGAAACATTTGCAAATCACAAAGTAAGACAAACAGCGATTGCACGACCTCATTCTCTGGGTCTCCCCGGCTCACTGCCGTAGGAAAAGGCAAGGCTCCGGCCACGTAACTTTGGAACCCCTTCTGCTTCCGGCTCAGTCTCAGAAGGCGGCCTCTCGGTTGCCCTCGCCCCTTTGCAGGCTTGCCGGCACTGCCATGTGAAGTTTCGCGTCGGTGCAGGTATTGACTCGTCGTACTAAAGCAACTAGAAAATCATCACCTGGAGTGTGGAGTGGAGGGGGTGGAGTCCGGGTGGAGTCTTGGAGTGGTCAGTGAGGTCTAGGCCGGCATATGTGCATATACAATGCAGGCGCGTTCGACATGTAGTAAAATTGCAACTACAACATGACTCATCCGTAGTTAGTTGAACCAAAACAATCTTGAACGCGAGTCAATGGGAAAGTCGCCTCCTGGGTCCTGTGCCGCAAACGGACGGAGTGCCAGTGCCCATGAAACGCCTCGGGGGCAGCGCCCGCGGAATGCATGGGCTGACGATGGCTGACGATGGCTGACGTGGTCTCAGACAGCGATTGGGCGAGAAGGTCCTGGCCTCGAAGGCAGTGCCTTCCGTGGCTCCCGCACTTTCTGATGCCTGAGATGTTGGAGACAAAGCACCGGATCGGACCGAACTTCGACTCTTCACACAGGCCTACCTGAGGGGCATGTGCTCCAGGTGCTCCAGGCACCTGCAAAGGTCCACCTTGAAATCCGGAACATGGCCACAGTGGACACAGTGGACACAGCTCTCACACCTTTGGCGCACGCCACAAGTTAAGGCTGTTGCTGCCGGTGACCGCACTGGCCAGTTCATCAAGCAGCGAGACCTGCCCTGGCAGCTGTCGGTTCAGTAGTCCAGCTTTGTTCTGAGCCGTCACTTCAACTTGGCGACAGGCGATCTGACAAGAGCAGCTCCGGGAGTGCCATCAACCTCTGAAAAATCTTAATTCAAACTTTTTGAGAGACACGACGGTATACGACGGTAGTCCGGCCCATGCGAGGGAGACTGGGCGGAGGCCTCTTGCATCAACTTGCAGCTGCAGCTCAGCTGCCAAGCGTCGCGACTGTGGAACACGTGTCAGACGTGCTGCCGTCAGTTTTTTTCTGTCAGGGCTTGAGGCTTTTACAGGTGTGTTGCTGCTGCTGGTCGCAGCCATGCCTTCTCAAGATCTGGAGTTGGGGCCGCAGTAGGAAAGTGGGGACTTGCTATGCCAGGTTCTGTCGCGAAACCCTACACCCTCGATGCTTTGAGCTCACTGCCCTTGGATAGGATATACGCATGTGGCTTGAGCCCTTGTGGCAGAGGGGCTTCTTCATGCTTCTCCACAGGGTAATGCAAAGGCCAGAAACTTTATCAGCTTGTCCGTGCAAATGCCCAGGGCGTGGCGCAAGGCGTTAGATTAGATGGGCTAGTGCGTATGAGGTCACTGAGGTCGTGCAGGCTTTGTACATCTGGGCGATGAAAGCTATTGCCTTCGCACGGAGCACTGGACTGATTTAAGCGTGTCTCGCTGCCGCGCCCAAGCGCTAAACCCCTTACCTTGACCCGGGCGCTCATCGAGCTCTAGTCTGATGATCACTCACATTGGCACATTGGTTCCACCAGATTCGGTAAGTTTGGTTTAAGCTAACTTCGCCTCTGCCGTGGCTCTGAGTGAAGATGCCTGCTCGGTCCCAACCTATACTATCATAGGTCGCGACATGATGATCTGATGAAGAATCAGTATACATGACCTGAAAAACACATATCATACAACATGCACACCGAGTGGCAGCAATGTATACGACACATATCAGATCGCACGGTAGTCTACAACTGCAACAGCCACTGCACGTGGTTCATGTTAAAGAGCGCGCGTCACGGAAACATCTGGGATAAAACCTTAGACAGAGGGTAGGGCGTCCACCTGTTTAGCCTCTCGGCTTGTGTACCCCACACTTGTTACATCTTGATGCATCTACATACTGCTTGCAGCGAAACAATGTGAAACCCCCACCCCCCCCCCCCCCGCCCCCTCACACATTTCTGCCGACTGAAAAGCCCATCAATGTCAGCGTCAAGCCCAGATCAGGTTGCTGCGCGAAGCATCCTGAGGTAACTTGGTGCATTTGCCAGGACAATGGCTGCGAGGCTACGGGGCGCGCTGTTGTTTCCAGATAAGACTAAGCTTGTAGTGGTTTATCTGAGGCTTGTAGTGGAGTCGGGGCGGGCAAGAAGTTCCGGGCGCCCAGGGTTGGGAACTGGAGCGTACTGTATGGGGAGCTCCCCAGGCCGAAATTTACCAAGGCAGGTCAATCAGAGCCATTTTGTGTGCTCGCGCGAGCGCAACATGCAAATCAAATTGACACATGCGCCTTCCATGCGAAACATAAGACATCACAGCGGACGCCAGCTTGTCGAACCAGCTGGTAGCCCCCAAAAAATGGGCTCAATCTTGAACATTCCACAACGGTCAGCATCACTGCGCTGGCTTGGCTGGCTTGGCCCAAGCTCTCTGTACTTGCTGTGGTCGCGGCGCTCACGGCTTGCTGTACTGACTTGGGACGTGCTCGGGCTGGGCATGAGCCCAGGCGACGCAGCATCCTTGGCCGAAGTCTCCGAGCTCCCCGAGCTTCTGGGGCAAGGTTGCTTTTCCGCAGCGTCGTGAGGTTGCAGGAAACCTGACATCTGCGAGTTGGCATCCAGATCATCCAGTGGGCAGCAGGGTGCGAGCACAGTTGAAGCAGCGTCTTTGGCCGAACTGTGGGAGCTCTCCTGCTTGTGCGGAGCGTCGTGCACGTTTCGTGGCTTGAACGTTGAGAAAGTTGAGAAAGTCGAGAAAGTCGAGACGCGCCAAGGAGGCACCTTGGCCTCCAGCGGGCGGAAACCTGGCCTGGATAAATCCTCGGCCGAACTCTCTGGCCGCCTCATTGGCCGCATTGGCCCCTCCTGCTCCAGGAGCCAAGGAGGCAGCCTGGCCTCCAGCGGCCTGAAGCTTATGACGCCGTGTCCTTGGCCCCCTCCGAGCTCTCCGAGCCCGGAGAGCTCGGAGGGGTGTTCAGGCTGCATGTGGACGGCCTTCCATCTTTTGCCCAGGGATGGTCTTACAAGAAAATCACATGGCTGGGCCCAGGCTGCAGCACCCACAGCACCCCTACGAGGTCCAGACAAGAGCACGATGCCTAGTAGGGCGCACCTTTCATCGGCCACCTTGGACCTTTATCTTAATCAGGTGCTCGTAGCAATGCTATGCAGAAGCTGATGTTTTCTTTCCAGGGGACTGAGTGCCTGACCCACGGTCTCCTTCACCAGGAACATAGGCGGCCCTTTAGGATTCTTGCGCGTGTTTTCCGAATTTTTGTTGTGACTGTGTGAGGGGTTGTCTAGGAATGGGATTCTCGCTGGCAGAGGCTCTTGACATGCGTTGACTTACTGTCAGGTTTCATCATAAGGCCTAATTACACTCAAGCACACCTGCGCGCCTGACACTTGGAGCATGGGCAATTCGAGAAGCCATCTCGTAGCAAGCAAGCAGGCAAGCAAACCCTTGGCACAGTCATGCTCCTGCTCTGTGGTCCCTGTTCCTTGTGGGTCCCCAAGAACTTTCCGATTGCGAGATGCTGCAATCTTGTGAAATCCAGGAATGCCAAAGGATAAAACATTTGCACCCTGGTCACGACACAGAACGTGACACGGTTCGCTAGTGACATCGTGCCGGGTAAATAGCGCCGCTGCAACGCTTGAGCCTGAAATCAAAGATGCATCTGGGGGCTGCTTTGCACGTGAGGCAAGATGTGCAACTTGAGACTCTGAATACGTGCAAAGAACTCTTTTGCTCACTCGGACGCGTGGTGCGTGGTAGGAGAACGCAACCGCCCGTCACGCAGCATTCAAGCGACTTGGGCTGAAGCTGGGCGTGGCAAAGCTTCCAGGAAAGCACCAAAGGAAGCAAAGGAATCAAAGGAATCAGGAGTCAGGATCTCAGTGGAGGGCCGTGTACAAGCCTAGTGTTGGTTTGGCCTTTGGCTTTGCCAGCAAGTCGCCTGGTGACAACAGTTGCGTCTCACACTCGCAGAGCCAACAGACTGTATGCTAACGGCGCAGATCTTCCGCAGCCAATCAACAACAGTGTCGCTTAGCAAAACGCCTTTGCATGATTTTCTACGATAATATCCTCGTTGAAGTTTTGCGGATTCTGGAAGGAGTCCATAAGCCAATGAGGCCAGATAAATGGCAACACATCTCCCATCGTCCCGCGCCCCAGATCCAAGGACTAAGCCGGCGGCAACAAATCGAAGTCCTTTCCCATGCCCCACACCCAAGCTAGAAAACCATGGTGACAAAAAACCACGTAGCAAATTCCATCACAAATCGCTACATCCAAGACACGACAGCAACACATCCAGTCAGCCCGAGCCCTCCTGACACCGCAATGCGCAGTGGCATACGGCGGCTCTCTGCCACATCTTTAGCAGCTTCAAAGCTACGGGCTCTTGCGAGGCTGGCCGAGGCTCTTTTAAAGCTCTCTGACGGCTTGCTGGCCCGTTTTAGGCCCGTTGTTCTTGGGGCAAACTCTCTCGGGCTTTCGGACAGCTTTGGCCAGACATGCCCGCAGTTGCTGGTGATGCCCCTTCCGCCCATTTTGGAAATTGACCCTGCAGAGGCCCTCTCAAATCACCCTAAAAACCCTAAAAACCCTAAAAACCCAAACCCTAAAAACCCTAAAAACCCTAAAAGCCCGAAAACCAAGCCCAAAGCCCAGCCAGGAAGCGGCCGACGCGCTGGCAGCCACACTTACGCCCAAGCCCGACTCAAAGGTTTCGGTCTGGAGAACCCCCTGATGGCAGCCTTCATCATGAAACCCATTATGCATCTCCAAATTTAGTTTTTTGTACATATACATACATACATACATGCATGCATGCATGCATGCATGCATGCATACATACATACATACACATATTTTGTGTTCTAAGTATGTCTACGCAGTATGGGGGATGGGGGGGGGGTCGGGCACTGGCAACTCAGAGGTCCCCACGTCTTCTTCTTTGGACGTGAGACACGCAGATTGCTCTCAGCTCAGCGCCTCTCAGAGGGTGCCGGCCCCAATGAAGTCGAAGACGACCACCTCCTCCCGCAAATTGCTTGGAGGCTTCAAGGCATCTGCTGAGACTTCTTTCCGATTCTTCCCGGCTCGACTTTTGCTCATTCTGAGACACTCTGCTCTACGGCCTGCTTGTCTTTCTGAATGAACTTGTAGGCGAAGGATCCATACGGGCCACCCACCTCTATTGGCTTTTTCATCGAGAACAGAGAGAGACAAGGACAAAGAGCTCATCAGCGGAGACAGCGGAGCTCCCAGCCTCGACTCCGCTACGCGCGGAGACTTCGCGCGGGGCCAGGTAGGCAAACTCATGAGCTCCGCGTTTCTGCGAGAAAGATGCCAGAAAGACCGCAGAAAGGCTCAGACTCCCGTATACTCTCTGATTCAATCGCATGGCACGGCTGTTTACGACTGTATAATTGTCGCAGCTGGCAGCTGGCAGCTGGCAGCTGGCAGCTGGCATGCCCCGGGTGCAAAGCAATATTAGAGCCGCCAAGCGTGACCATTCCACCCCATAATCCCTCAAACACCTCAATCACCCTGATCTGACATGTCTCAGAACCTTTACAACGGTACACCCTTGTAGACTTCATCTTGGGGGGATTGCAAAATATTGCAAATCTGGCAACGCGGAACTTGGCCTTCAGAAACTTCAAGGTGACCTCGTGCCAGTAACTGATGTCGTCGGGCCTGAAGGCCACTTCACAGGTGCATTTCCCCTCTTCCCTGCTCCGCCTGCTCCATCATGCTCCATCCCGCTAAAAACTCGAAAGCGCGTTCTTCCAGTGCTTTCCAGGCAGCTCGAACGTGGAAGCTTCTCCTTTGAACTCCCGTCTTTGAAACTGCATCTTGGCCCGCCCGACGGGGACAATGGCCTCAGCAGCCAGTGTGACCACATGACTCACATGACTGGTATGGACCAGGTATGGAGGTGTTTTTCAGCTGTCTCGTTGAGGGCTCTTAAAAGTCTTCGACCATCTTGCTGATAAAAGGCGGTCAGCGCAACAATTTTGGACTCCTCGTTTAGGTAGCAGAATCCTCCGGCCAGCTGACATTCGATGGCTTGCGAGATTTGGTGCACTCCGTCCTCCATTTTCCAGCACAAAGGCCAACGGATTCTGCTCCTGACAAGAAGATGTGCCAAGCGAAAGACCACCTGCAATCTCAGCAGGCTGCAATCTCAGCAGGTTGCCGTCCCAGCAAGCTCCTGCTTCAGGCGCCCAAACTCTGCTGGGGTTGCATCCCGCAATCTCAAAGGATAGATCCAGCAACATTCCTGCACCAGTGATCGCAGGACATCTTCTGAAGAACTACGATTTGTGGTCGTGGTGGCCGTGGTCCTGAGCTTGCAGATCTATGCCCAAGGCGTTCCGTGTCGCGACATCATCCTCTGGGCCCTGCGGCGCAGTCTAGGACGCGATTCCAGTGCTCGGAGCAATGCCTTTCTTGTGCAAAAAAAATGGTTACGCGAATGTCTCCTTGGCTTTGTCTGGTGCCGGCGCTGCCGGCAGATGCAGAGGCCGCAGCGGTGAGCAGCGCAATTCGGCAGCTGGCGGACACACGCAGACTGCACGCAGACTACACGCAGATGCAACAGCAGACTTGCGGACTGTGACACTCTGCGGTCTGCCGTGCCATCATGCCCATCATGCCGTGCCACCATGTACCACCCCAAGTCAACGTATGCCAACGTACACAAGCCCCAGTCTGAGACAAGCGACGGGCTGTCGAAGCACTGGTAGCTGCCGACCTCGACAAGGATGGCTCCAGCGAGGGGCGAGTCTGAAAGGCTGCTTCCCACATCTTCCCCTGCATATCCCTGCATCATCCGACCCAGACTCCCACGGACCCACGGAGGTCCGGGTTGCCGGTCTACTTTGGGCTCACAGTTTAACAACAGCGAGTGCCTCGGCCAGGAAAACAGCACTTTGAGCTTCTCGCTTCGATCCAAGCGGAAAAGCCTCTGAGTCAGCACGAGAAAGGCATCTCCGGGAAGACTGTGCAGGCTGGAGCATTAGTTCATGTAATCAAACATGGGCACAGTGCAACTAAGACTGCTCCGAGAAATGCTCTCGAACTGTCCGCTTCTTGTGACTTCCTTCCCTTTACCCTGTTTTACCCTGTGACAGCCGAGATGCTCCAGGCTCTCGGAGGACACGCTTGTGAGGCTGAGAGGCCGCAAAGACTGCGGGAAGTCCACGGAGGTACGCATGGACTGTGTCGTATCCATGCGCGCGCGTAGGCCTCTGCGGATTCCGCGGATTCCGGGAGGAGTCTACGAGCCAATGAGAGGTTGGCTTTGCGCGGTTTTGGTTTTTGGTGGCCTAAGCTTCGGAGATTGCCCCGCCCTCTTGTTCGGCCTTCCCAAATGCCGCTGTGATCGATGGAATCGATGGCTTGTAGCACCTTAAGTTCATCTAAAAAAAACCGAACCAAGCTTTCAAGTGCTTCTACTCGCAGCCTAGCAATAAGGAAGTGTTCTTTGCAGAGAGCCCCAAGGCACTGGGGAGGGGCCGTTGTTCTTGATTCGCGCCTCAGACCAACTGACTTTTTCAGCAATACTCACGAAGCTCAAGACAGATCGGAGTTTTAAGTTTTCTGAGCAGCAGGCCACAAAGTCGCAATACGGAGTCAGCACGTTGAGCGTCTTGTCCTCAGCTTTCCAGTCGGTCTATAGTGAGAGATTCTACAACTTTGCCCTCGGCATAAGAGCATAAGAACCTACGAGCATTATGGCACCTTAGTCCAAACAAGCGTTGTAGATGGGGATTGTCTGAAGAAATTCGCCTCGGCTTCCTTCCGAGAAGCGTTTGGAACAAGCAGACCCGGATGCGGTCTCCTTCCCCCTTAACCCAAATTTTGTGACGGACCCCCCCCCCCCCCCCCCCCCGGCCCCCCTTTGTTGAGGCCTTCCCAGAAACCTCCTTTCCTGTTCGTGGGCCGGCGCGGCTGCCGAGGCGGCGCGCGCAAGCGTTTACAATTACTGCACAAGAAGCTACACTGGCTACACCGTGCCTCATAGCCGAATTTGCACCATTTGCTAAAAGCCTGAAGCCAACAAATACCTGCCAACATGGCTGCCCTTACCTACTTTGCTTACCGTTGCCGGGCGAAGTCGCCATGGAGGCCATGGAACGTCGGACAAGCTCATCTGGCACGGACCTCGAGGACCAGGCGAGGAAAAACAACTCAACATCAACCGCAGGGACAGACCAGAATTTCAGGGTGTTCGGGCCTCAGGGTTTCCGTTCCTTGCGCAGTTCAGGAAGGGTTGGTTTCAACTTGGGACTTGATGGCCGTGGAGCCTGGGACACGGTTTTGGCAATGATTTCATGGTTGCAGCGATTGCTTTTGAAAGCTTGTCGGGCGTTCGTTTGCAGCCCATACACAAGAATGGTGCGTGCAGAGTGGCATGCAAGATGTCCTCGGCTCGACAACGAACAACAACACCGCCACACAGAAAAAAGTTGACAAAACAGTTTCTCTGCAGGCTGCAATGGAGAACATGAAGCTAGTCACCTACCCTTCGCACGTCATGTGTTGCGTTCTCATGTTTTCGCTGCTCAGGGTTTGAAGGTTGATGACACAGACGACACATTCCGAGACATTAAGCTGTGTCGCTAAGAAATCGGCAGTTCTGACAGCATCCTTTCTGCCTTCCTTCCTTTCTTGGTCTAAGATAGAGGTTTTCCTACTAAAATCAAGAGAAAACTGAGGGATAAAACACACAATTTCCCTCTGCTTCTAAGACAAAATAGAGCCCCCCCCCCCCCCCCCCCCCCCCCCCCCCCAAAAAAAAAAAAAAAAAACATACTTCGAACATCCCCACCTTGGGGATTTGGATTTGGGCACTCCCGGGAGTGTGTTGGGCACTCCAGGGAGTCTCTGGGGTTGGGCACTCCAGGGAGTCTCTAAGAGTAGACCGGGCGAGGAGAAGACTTCCAATCGAGGAGAAGAGTTGATTTTAAAATCTAACAACCCCACACCGAAGGTAGGGAAAAAGAATGGCAAAACAAAAACAACAGAAGGGGCCAACAAAAGGGTCTTGAAGGGGAGCCCTGAACCGAGTGTTGGGGGGACTGGAGCTAGTAGCCATTCGGCCTTCCATCCGGGCCCTCCGCCCGCTGCTTCACGCGTGACAGGATGGTCTGCTCATCGGCGCCCTGTTTGGGACTCAGGGACTAAGGAGTAGCCGGGGGTCAATTTGTGAGCCAGCAAGGATGCTAAGTGTTGTGATGACTTGGCGTGTCTTTGGTGCCGGAGCGCATCTTAAGCTAGAGTATCATCTCTGCTGGAGCGTCGGGTGACACTGCTGAAGTCCGGAAGGCCCGAGTTGAACTGCAACCATTTCCCGAAATCCACGAGGCAGGCGAGGATCGATGTAGAAAATGGCAATGTGGTAGTCCCGGTATGTCGAACCTCGGTGCAAATATCTGCGACGGCTTGCGCAGGCCCAGGCCCAATTTCGGCGAAACAAAAACGTGAATTTCGTGAGAGCTTAGCGGGCTTGCCATGTTAGCCGCTTTTCTTGTGCCGTTTGCACTTCTGGGCGGCGAACGAATCTTTTCGAACTGTTGGGCGTACCACTCTGCATCCTTCAGCGAACCTGGGGGTGGGAGCGAGACTTCAAAGCACGGTCGAACACTGGTGCATTGCATGGTGGTGCCAAGGAACCATCCACCCAGACGTTGAAGTTCTTGTGCATCGCAGCAGCTTGTGCAATCTCCATCATGTAGGCGGACCTGGTGGAGTGAGTGCAGTCCGTGCGAGCATGCGATATCTAGTAACGCTCGCAGGTAGGACCAAGTCGGACTAAGTCCTCCTGGCTGAACTTTTAAGGCATGCGGCTCTCGGTGGCAATGAGTTGCGGCCATGGACTTGTCGGGATAGAGCGAGTACTCTGGCATCATTTCCTTGATCGCATCCGGGTCAATCTTCACCATGTTCGCCCTGACAAGCAAAACCGCAAGTGTCAAGACACAACTGCGTTGAAAAACCCACCCGGAACTTCATCGGATTGTTGCTGCAGACTGCAGCTTCCTTTGTTGAACACGCTTCGTCATGATGTGAAATTTTGAATGCACCGAATGCCGCAGAGTATCTGCATGTTGAGATAGCCTCGATTGTTGAGCCATTGCAGGGTGAAGCTCCTCAAAGCTTCGGCTCTCGCAGCTTCGGTGACGTTTTTGACTTCCGACTCTCTCTCTGTTTGCACGGATAGTCATGGCAAACCCTGAAAACAGGCCATGAAGCGCAGGCGATGCGGGCTAGGAGCTTTCCAACCCCCATGGGCCCACAGGTGTAGAGCAGCCAAGGAGACTTCTCTTCCATCTGATCTTTCAACAGCTTGCCGATCTGCTCGTCCTCTACCACAACTTCAAACCCTTGTTGTCTCACCACAAGCCCTATAGGCCCTAGGCGCTCTTCAGGCCCCTTGGTGGGCCCTGGACAAGCTGCCCTCCTGCCATGTCTGCCGGTCCAGTCTGTAGAGCCCGTGGTACTCAGGGTCGCACCTTGTCGCCATGGCGTGGCTCATTTGATGACTCAAAGCAACAAAGCCGTAACAAAGCTCGACTTCTGGCTTGGCCGAGCACTGCTTTCGGAAGCTGCGGTACTTTTCGGCGTAGCTCTCATCCGAAACCTTCTGCAGAGGAAAGGCCGGGGCTTGGAGTCTGGTGCGGGTGGGTGAGGGAGTACTGCCCTAACTTCCTCCACAAGCTGAGCATCTTCGCCTGTCCCCTGATTTCCTGGACGTAGTTCTCTTTCGTGGACTTCCTGAGTCGCAGACGCTACCGACATCCTTTGTAAGGCCTTCACACAATGTACCTTTGAAAAACTGCACGCAGCGTAGCGCACTGACCTCACCCAAGACACTTCCAGTCGAAGTGTGCAGGCACGCAGAAGTTCTTGCCATCTACGATGCTGGGTGGAGCAAACACCTCACAAAGTGAGGGGTGCTTTGACTGCTGGGTGCAATTGTACTGGAACGGCTCCGGCAAGAATGGCCATCGATGCCCAGCGAAACAGTCGGAGATGCAGCAAGGCTACACTCCGAACGAGGAACTATACCCGAAACGCCATTCACCGAAAAACTGACCAGGAAGAAGACACGAGCTAAACTTTAAACACAGGGCAGAGGCAGACCACGGCCCGGCTGCAGGCCAAGGCTCCACTTGGCCGCGCTTCTCCGGATTCGTTTGGAACTTGAGGCGGTTCAATGACCGCGCTCGCATGAGGGTGGCCCTCCTGCGAATCATGCGAATCAGCACAGCGGATCCGTCATGAGTTGTCCGAGGCACTTGGTCAGCAAGTGCAGGCAGGAACCCGCCCAAAACTCGCAGGAGCTCCTGGGCGACACCTCCCCTTTCTCCTCCTCAGGCTGCAGGCTGCTGTCGGTTTTGGGGGGCAGCTCGTTTGCAGTGGTGGAGCACAAAAGGAAGTTTCAAGCACAAGGCTTCACAAATCAAGCGACCTTTGATGGCCAGATTCTCAAAATGGCAGGCAACAAACAACAATCCCTGGCCTCCAAAGCATCGCTTCCAGAGAGGAGCCATTTTCGCAGGCTCTGCTTTCTGGCGGCTTCTACTGCCTCCTGCAGGGGACAACAAAGTACAAAAAATGAGCGGAAGGAAGCTTAAGCCAACAAGCCATCTCCACTGCAAGCAAGCACCACATTGTCGCAAGAGTCATGCAGCAGCTGGGAGATGCCTGCATAAGAGGGAGGAGCACTTCTATCGCCAGCTTCTGTCCAGCTTTCCCTGGCCGTCGTAGGGAGAGCTGGCTGTCTACACCCGGGGTTTTCGAGCTTGAAAAAAAGGCACAAGCACAAACCTTTATAGACGGCTCCCGACAACCCAAAGACGGGACCTTCGTGAAGGAGAGTCGAGAGATGGTGTTCCAATCTTCGCAGGCCTTCGTGCAGCTGGACCTGATCAAGGCAGCAGCAACCCTTTTCCTGAGCGTGCACAAATCTTCCAAGAAATGATCGGCGTACGTGGTGTACGCAACGTTTCGGCACCACATGGGAATCATTGGAATTCGAGAACAATCTTTGCATGTGTGTTTTTGCTGTGATCCAGCGCAGCTTATGGTCACAAACCGCCCTGCTGTGATTGTCAAAACTTGTGGCAGGTGGGCACAGCAGAACAGCACTTGTTCAAGCTTGCAGGGGTCGGGAAAATCACGCACCGACAGTCTTCGTTGTCGTTGTTTCCACATCTCACTTGAACTCGAGATCGCCCACAGCAGCTCTTTTGCAGCGCTACAGATATCAAAACGGGCAATGAAAACCAAATTCGAGGTACAAAGCGCAGACTGAAACGGGCAGAGGCCAAGCCAAACACAAACTACAGATGTAATCCCAGCGGCCCAGCGCATGACGATTGCGTCAGCATTGTCAATTTTCAAAAATGTGATGGATTTCCGGGGAAGAAGTCCGAAAAAGTAGATTTATGAAGCTCGGAAACCTTATGCAAACAATGACACTTGCAAATGCATTTTTAACATGTTATGGCAAGTCGAGACTTCAAAACAGAAGACTCGACAAAGTAGAAGATAAGTCTGTACTCTAGTTTCAAGATGTTTTGTTTTCCGCGAGTCCAAATTGCAAAGTCCAGGAATTTCGACAATTGCTGCGTTGCAATACTATCCACAATCATGACGCCGGGAACTTCAACACTTCAAAAGAGAAAGCTGCAGCCTCAAACGATCTGCTATAACACTCGGATCTGCTCTTTTGGAACGAAGATGTTCCGATTCCATAATTCCATACCCCTATACCCATGGCGACTCGGAGCCTCTACGCTGGGCAGGGCGAAAGTCACGACCAGTGGGATGTGGTCTGAGGGCTCCTGCGTCTCGACCCGAAGCAGTTTACTTAAGTTTACTTCAAGCGGAACATTCCGGCTGACACAAGGCCACTCCACAGCATCTGCCTGGTCGTTTGGCATGACCCCAAGGCACTTCAGGGGGCTCTTCTTCTTGAGGCGCAGCATATCCTGGCGCATGGAGCATTCTCCGGCTCACAGTGCCGAGAACGTCTGACAAAAAATGGATCCTTTTTCCCACTCTGGGACGGTAGCTGTCCTGGTCATAGAACACATAATCAATGGTCTCCTCCCGCATGCCTGGCAGGGAGAGCTGTTTCTGCTCTTTGACTCCAACAGGTTTACAGCACGGTGCCTGTGATCGTTGAGGAGGCATCATTCGATCCGTAGATATCGTCGTAGGCGTCCCGCATCTTCAGCTCACGCCCATCTGACCGCTCCCATACGAAACGGCGCTCCTTTCGCAACCTATATGAGCACATGACATGGCTTGAGCGATGACACTCAAATTACACTTATACTCACGTGTCTCCGGTGCAGCGTGCGCAGCTCCTCGCCGTGCTTCTCGTAGCCTGTGTGGTCCTTCAGCCGTGTGCAAACTCGCTTCATGGCTTTCTGAGACATGCCAAATCCACCCATGTGGCAGAGATAGGTCCAGGTAGGTCCCTGGCCAGGGACCGCATGTTCTTGAAGTCCTTCTGGGAGACCCACTCCTGAGTGCAAGGGTCTATCTGGAGGACGAGCTCCCCCAGAACCTCCAAATTCTTCTTAGATGGTGTGGTATGAGTGCTGTGCTACGATAGCAAGAGGGCAACGGACATGGCAAATGCTTCAGCCAAATAACTTTGGGCAGTCGCCTTATCGTTTTCCAATCGAACTGACAACAAAGCCCGATCCCCAATTTGCCTGTAGACTAGATTCCTGCTCAGGTCTGGTTCGCTCGGGCTTCGCAAAGCATCGTCTGCACCATGCTTTCCAGCTCATACAGACTTGGTACAAACACAGCCCTTTGCTAGGTGGTCCTTTTCATTGCTTGTTTGGCTTTTCATCGCTCGGGTCCCGGCCCCGCATCAAGACTGATGAGCCCCTAAGCCTTCTTCTGCTATGTCATATAAGTGCGACTTGGCCAAGCTTCTAGGCGGCCCAGATCGTCACCGTTGCTCTCAAACTTGATAAGCGCGTCACCATTGCTGTCTATCTCCTGCACGTTGATCGGGCACAGCTAATGAAGCTCTTGCCATTCTTAACCGGAAATGAAACCATCGGGAAGCCCTTGTTGCGTCCATCTGTGTCCATTTATCCAAATCCACCCTTTCCTGAAAAGAGAAGTTGCCCCGACAAACCCCTCATGCTTCCCTCACGGTCCTGCATACATTGGGCATACATGCCAATACATCATGTTACACCTGCCTGGCAAGACCCAAGTCCCAAAATAGGCAGACGGCCTGCACCTCTCCAATGGTCTTGCTGCGGATCCTCTGCTCCAGGCACATCCAGAGTTTTTTTGTTTTTCTTTTAATGGCTTCCTGCAACGTAGCTGAGGTAGTCAGATTCTTGCCTTGAGTGCTGAGGCCGAATCTGCGAATTCTTCAACAGTGTTGTGGGAGGCTGCAGCTCTGTTCCATGCTGCATAAGTGTGCTTCAGTGGCAGGATGTGGCAGGGCATGGCACAGCTTCCAGTTCAAGGGCCCTCTTGTCAGGCGGCTTGTGAGGCTCGAAGCTGATGGAGGAGAACTCGTGCAAGACCTGCGACATGTTGCAACCACATTGCGACATGGCGAGCCACTGGACGCTGGGCCGCTGGGCCTTCACGAAATGGTCCTTTTCGACGTCTTTCTCCTTTTGGCAGCGGAATAATGATCATTATGGACGTATTCTTGCATCCATCTCGAAAAAAAGTGTCTTAAGTCGATCGGCTACTAGAACAGGAGTTGCAGCGACTGCATGCCTGTGCGTTCTGCTGCAGAAGATGCTGCTGCAGCAGCATCTCCAGCATGGCTGCACAAGCCACGTGTTGCTTCAAAATGCTGTCGAGACTGCCAAGCTTTTGGCCAAGTAATGCCAAGCAGCACCCTTCAGGAACTTCTTGGTCCAGATGAAGTCGTGCGCATTCCCGCGGCTATTGATATTGAAATCCCCGCAGAGGATGACAGCTTCATCTGGATTCACCAGATCACCTAAGGCTCTCACATCGACTGAGCAGACCTGCTGCTGGTCGCGATGCACGACAATTGAAGAACTTTGTTGGGCTGTTCGATTTCAGTGCTGGCTCCAAGCTGCGCCGAGCGGCTCATGAGGGCGTTGATGCTGCAGAGCTCTTCCTCGAGATGCTCTGTCTCATAGGGTCCTATGATTATGAGGCTATTTTAGTGCAGTGTAAACTTTAGCTTGTAGCACCAACCCTGCACATCCGCTCGCAGCTTCTAGGGACCCCCCTTAAGAATTATGCACCCGCCAAATACGAGCATTCGGTACGAATGGCCTGTATGAATAGTTCAGCACACGTTATTCAGACGATGCTTCCTACTCCTTTAGAGGGATTCTGCGGTCGGAGCGTCGGTCCGGACGCGGCCCGAAAGATCCCGGCTGGCGGTCATCAAATGAGTCGTGCAGAAGAGCAGAGGCTGCCTGGTGACGGCGACCCCGACTTCCGACTTCCTCCCTTTGAATTACCACTACTGGCCGCTTGTGCCAGCCTGGGGATCCCAACATACGCCTGTAACAGCGCACTCGAGGCGCCCTAAACATCCGACAAGAAAAGCCCTCCCTTTTGGCACCCCCCCCCCCCCCCAGGCCCGCGGATCTGGAGCCGGACAAAGCCCAGGCTTCGCCGGTCCATGGTCTTCATGAGCTTGCCATCGCCCCGCTCCTTCATGGCTTGAGGGCCGCAGAAAGCAACATTGCTCGCACATATTTCGCTAAGATTGCATCATGGAACCAACGCTCAGAGCCATATTGGATATTTCCAAGGGCTATCCTTGCGGGACCCTCACCGGATCCCAGCGATGCTGAATGCTCCTGCAAGTCCAGGTTCCCGATGCTCTTTTCCTTCAGCTCGTTCTGGGTCTTCTCCTCAGCTTTCTGAGCGCATCGAGAGACTTCCTTACGCGCTTTGCAGGGAGGGGCCTTGAGCTTGTCTCGTGGGATCACGGCCTCTTTGTCACTGTGGAGGACCACCACGAGGGCTGTGCCATCCCTGCGGAGCTCCTGCATGGCAAGCGAGGGGGTCATAGAATCCTGGCAGGAAAGGATGGGGAACTTGTTGAAAGTCTTCCAAGCTTGTTCCTTATTCTGAAACATGGCAAAACTATGAGAAAGTACACACCCATATTCTCATGGACGCAGAGTTGCTTCAGCTTCACTGCGGGACCCGGTCTCTCCTTAGCTACCACCCCAACAAACTACTAGTACTCACGTGGTAAGTGACATCTTCTAGGTGGGGTCTGAAACTCTAGATGATCTAAGTCCTGGCTCAGAGAGAGAGAGAGAGAGAGAGAGAGAGAGAGAGGGAGAGGGAGAGGGAGAGAGAGAGAGAGAGAGGGAGAGGGAGAGAGAGGGAGAGAGAGGGAGAGATAAACAAAAATCTTTATACAGACAGAAAAGCGAGGAAGAAAGGCTGAGCTTTTCAACGCTTCATCGGGACTCCGTCTCTCCTTGACTTCCACCCTGGTCCCGGCTGGTCCGTAGGTGTCGGCATAGTCGGAGTCGGCAAGCTCCGCGAGGGCTCTTCCTCCCTTCCAGAGCTCCTCAAAGAGTTTTCTAGAAGGTTGAGAGCAGGGATGAGCAGGGTTGGGTCTTCCTGGTTTTCCATGTTTGAGCCGAGCTTCGCTTTCCAGCACCCCTGCCTCCAGCCCGCGCGCGATCTGCTGCTGCACAGCTTTGGTGGAGAACTCCCGCTTCCAAAAGATGCCCTGTGAGCGGATTTGAAAGGGCACTGTAAAGTGGTTGCACGGCAGAAACAAGACCCCAAGAATGGCATCCGAGGCGCAATACCAGCCCTTTCCTGCCCTGGGCAAAGGAGCTGCGCACCTGTGCTTGCAGGGACTTGGGGTTTCAGGTGGCATATGGAAGTCATAACGGCGTGTCCATGGTTAAGTGCCATTGCCTTCGTATCCCCTGTCGCGCATGTGCTCATGGAACTCGCGCTTCTTGGCCTTGAGCCGATGCATGTCCTTACAGGTTCCGGTCGGTCCCTGCTTCGCTGGCAAGTGGAGAGCTCCAAGAAGCCGCCAAGGCTCATACTCTTGAAATGCCACGAGATCCGGCGCCTCTGCAGCGATCCGATCCAAAATCTTTGGCATTCTCTTCTCCTTGGTGACTTGGGTCACATTCAGAGGTGGAGGGCCCATTGCAGTGGCCACCTTGATCCATTCTTCCATTTTCTATTCTACTCTTTTCATTTGCTCTTTGGTGCATTTAAAATGGCTTGACTTTGAGAGAAATATAGGGCGAATAGGGGTGGGCCGCCGGGCTGCCCAGGTCCGGTGCTCGTTCTCTTCTGCGATCACGTCGTAGACCCGCCGCGCCAAGTCCTGAAATAGCCGGGGGGGGGGGGGGGCGCGTATGTACCAGCACCACGTAGCCCAGTTTTTTGGTTGAACCCATGTTCGAGAATTCAGTGAGGTTTTTGACTCCAAGCGCCTTGTCTCCAAGCTCCTTCTGCAGAAGACCCAGGCAAGTGAGGTGCTTCTCCAAGGTCACAGCATCTCGCACCTTGCCCTGCTGAGATCCAAGATCCCAGCCCTGGCGCACAGGCCGGCTAGCTCTTCCCTACGCAGAAGAAAACAAAGACAGAGAGAGAGAGAGGAAGAGAGAGAGAGAGAGAGTGGGAGAGGGGGAGAGGGGGAGAGAGAGGGAGAGAAGGGAGAGAAGGGAGAGAAGGGAGAGAAGGGAGAGAAGGGAGGAAGAGAAAGATGGACAGAGGGAGAGACAAAGAGAGAAAAAACACACACACACACACACACCCAGAGACAGGCGGTGGCAAGGGCATGGCCGGCCTCCAACGTCGTGAGATCAGGCTGGCTCCAGAGTGCCCGAAGCTTCTGTGAAACGTCGCTCGGATCCCGGATTTGCTCTTTCATCTGGTGCCAGGGCTTGTACTCCTCACCGTGCCGTAGTGTGAAACACGTGCAGTGCTGTGTTTTCATGGGCCATAAGTCCATGAATAAGGGCCATAAGAATCGAAACTTGGCTTGCCATGGCTTTCCATTGATACAGCGTCAAGTTCCAGTGGCGAGTCCTCGTTCATCCTCGCTTTTAGGTCCCGCCACTGCTTCTTCGGATCTCCCTGTGCCGGCAACGAAAAGAGAAGAAAGCAGAAACAAGCGTTGCACCATGCTCGCCTACTGTACTTCTGTAAGCCTGAACGGAGCAGGTGTGTTTGGCGACGCCTTCTTGAAGACCTGTTTCAGAAGCGTTTCAGGCGGATCCTTCATCGTCCTTTTCAGAGATTCCCTGGCTCACACCCGTCTCAACATGGCATTGGCAGCTTGAACAGGTTTTACAAAGTCCTCGGGATGAAATTGGAGATGAGGTCATCCAGCAGAAGGTTCCATGACAGGACCGTGACTTCCTGCGTAGGCTCCTGCGCACCGGGATTCGTCGGAACACGCACCGACGAGCTCCCTTCGCGACCCCTGCCTTTTCATCACCCGCCATGGCGAAGCCAACCAGCGCATTCAGAATGTGCCGTTTTGATGCGCTACTTCTGAGGCTGCATTTGGGTGGGCTGGGTGTGCGACTGGGCTTAGATCATCGCCCCGCGTAGATGTGCAGTAAGTGTTTTTCCTGCGATAAAACACACGTATTATTGATCATCCATATGCTTCATGTCAGTTCGGAGCCTGCGACAGCGGCGATCGGCGAAGGTGGCCACGAGAAGAAGCAAGAGACCGAATACTTCCACATCAAACCTGCATCTGTCCAACCCTACGAACCTGTCAAGCAGCAGGGTGAGAAAAAAACCATGGCATCGTTAAAGAAAGAACAGCACATTTGCATCCGGATCGAAGATGCACCGGACAACACCAAGCAATAAATAATTGTTTATGAGTTTAGCGTTGTGCGCAATTGCAACCTGTTTGCAGCGCAATTCCATGTAATGTAGAAAAGAGCTGCAATAATTTGCAAGCCTGTCCCGATGTGCTTTTCGGAAGTGCGAAAGGCCCCAAGATGCCAAACAGGGACGTTCGAAGGGGAAAAGGCCTTCGAAATCGTCAGCTCTGTGAGAGGTTCAAGATGTGACATGGAAGTTGAAGTCGTCCGCTCTGCGAAACCCCCCAGAATCAAAGGCCTTTCATGTTCGAACTTCCCTATTGGGCATCTTGGGGCTTTTGGCAAAGCAGATCTTCAAACTTCCCTATTGAGCATCCTGGGGCCCTTAGAGCAGACGAATTCAAACGCCTTTGCTTTTTGAATTTCCTTTTGTCCCGTTAAAAAGAGTTTTGGGGGCACAATTTCATTCAGTCAGTCGTTACGAAATACCCGAATGAACGACTGAAAAATCCAGAAGCTGGGAAGAAAAGGTCTTTACTAGGGATTGTGGTTATTTTATGGGCATTCACGTATTCCATTTGCCCGAGTCTTTTGCATTCACTCCGTTCCTGATTTCAGGCGCTCACTTGTTCACCTATAAATCCATTAGAGGCGCTCTCTACATCACTGTCACATGGCATTGCTATCGGAATGTATCTGTCATCATGTCATCTGAGTCACGAATGGTGAGCGCAGTGAGGTTGCAGAACAGAAAGATTCGGGCAGCGCACCCCATTTTCCCTTCAATCAAAACTGGCAATTGGCACCTGACTATTGCAAACGATGCCGGGTCTTGCGAAACTTGTCGCGGATTGAGCTTAGCTTCCAATTTCGGGAGCGATGGCCATCAGCCGTCTGCCTCAAGGACAAGGCGAGGCGGCGACCATTGAACATGAATCAACTCATCAACTGTTTGCTGCATTACTGGGGCAAGGACAGGCCCCCTAGCTGCCGGAGTAGAAGTTCTCCGCCCTGGTGGGCAGCCAAACATCTTCACAAAAATGGGTTCGGCTCCTCAACTCCTGCCATCTCCTGCCTGTCACCTCGGACATCCCAGCTCAAGCCCTCAGCGTCGTCTCCTCGGAGTTTTTGCTGCGCTGTCCACTTCGCACAGACCAGTCACAAGCAAAACTCTTTCAGCTCTCACCAGATCTCTTGCCGGCTCTTGCCGGCTCGTGCCGGGGGCAACGCCGAAGATGGACTTTGCGTAGAAGCGCGCCGTCTTGTTACCTGAACTCTCCGGCTTTGCAACTGCACAGCTTGCGCCAGCTCTACACTTTCCTAAATTACACAGCTTCGTTCGGTAAGGATCTACAGTTCCAGCAGGTGGTATTCTCGGGCTCGAGTCGAGGGTGCCCTGCGAAAGCGCGATGTCGTGGTGCAGATGCTATAGAATTCGGCTGCTACCCTGCTGCCCAAGAAGCTCTTCGAGAGTGTGTCGACCTGCGCTACGGCATGCCGCAGACCGTTTTAGAGCAAGCTCGTGAAGATAAGAGATCGCACTTCTAGAGAAGCTCTGGACCATGTGGTTGCCAAGTCAGTGCGGGGAATTTAGTGCCCGGTGGGTGCAAGCGAGGGCGCATCGGAAGGGAAAGCTCCTTGGCAATCTCTTGCGACACTTAAGGGCTGCAGAACTCTCCGCCTTCTTCTTCACCTCCCATCTCTGCCCCCGCCGCTTCCAGTACTTGTCGGTCTCTGTGGCCTCTGCAGGTGCAGGTACTCGAGGTGTACTCGTGGTCCCCGATTGAAGCAGAATCCATGGCCAAGCCGTGCCTTGTTGTCCACCGGCATCGGTGCAAAGTAGATCTCCTCAGCGCTTTTTCAAGGACAAGTCGAAGTAAAGGCCATATAGGGCTCTAAACATCGAGAAGGGCTCCTTTCACTTCTGAGGGCACCGCATCCCCTGGCTTCAGTCCGACGCTCTCGTCCACCTGTGGCCAAGGGGTCAAGGCACCCTGACCTACTTGCTTATATACTTGCTTCGTTCAGTGTCTCTTTCGTAGGGCCCGCTTCAAGAAACGAGAGAACCGAGGCAGGAGATCCTGCGTCCATGTCTCCCTCAAGTACACCAGGAGGCTCACCTTTGCACGCGTTCTTTCTGTCCTTCGTAGGGCGCGGAGGGAAGGTCGCCCCTCTGCCCCCGGGCATCCTTGCCCGCCATGTATTCGGGGCTCTCCTAACCAACAGCTTGCTTTGCTTCCCCGCCCCCCCAACCTTTCCCCCTTTACCTGCAACACACCCCGGTGTTGGCCCCGCCTGCCCTTTGTTCTGTACTACTGTGCTCCTTCCAGCGGGTGAGCCCAAGTAGCTCCAGCCCACGTTCAGCACAACCCTCCTGTGTTTCACTGCGACACCCCGCTAGCGTAAGCTTCTAAGATCTTCGTCCCCAGCGAGGCCCTTGGGGCCTTCGTGAAGAACTCGTTCATCAGAAGCCGCCCCTCGTCGAACTTCTGCCGTGCGCTGGTGATGTTCTCCTCAAGGAGGGGAAGGGCCAGGGGAGGGCGAGCGGCAGGAATTGGTCTGAGTTAGCTGCTTGTGTGCCTTTTTGGGCTTGGGGCTGCGCAGTGCGGTAGCGCGATGGGTCCTCGCGTGCCGCCTTCCCCAGCTGGAACTGGTTCAGCTCGAACTTCTGGAAGATCTGTCGGGAAAGTCTCAATCAAGTCCACAACACTTCGCCGCAAGCGCTCGCTTGCGCTCCTTCTGCAGGTCCTCCGAGGTGTCCGGGTCCACAGCATTGCTCAAGGAAACGTCCCTTGGAGGGGGGGTTTATGGCTTTTGAAGCCTCGCAAAACGAGATTGTTAGCTTACGCTTGGCAGCACTGAGCATAAGCTCTGTTGCAAACCGCCTCGTTTAGTCCAGGCCTTGCGGCTGTACCCATTTTGTGCCTCTAAGAAGTCACCTACCTGCGTACTGCTAGCGCAATGAATAAACCCACTTCATGTGCCTCAAAGGACTCTGAGACATCTGAAGGTGCTGACGGAAGCCAGGGACCCAAAGCACAATCGCGCAAAATGACGGCATCCAGGAATCCGCATCCCAAGACACTTCCCCCAACCAAAGTATGTGGGGCCATGAACAAGCTCAGTGTCGGGCTTCATGGGATACAGGATATTCCGCTCGAAGGTGGTAATGGAAGCCCCGGCACCGGCGTTCTGGCTGACATTGCCCTTGTACCTCTGAAACGAGCGGGATTCTGTCTCACAAAGCTTGGACCATCTTATTACTTTCACACATGGGTCTACATGGTCTAAAATGCCCAAGCTTAATGGTCGATGAAACAGCGGTAGCTCAATCGTGGGGCAAATGCGTTGGTTGGCAGTGTGGGCTAGTACTTGCATTATACTCCTAGTGAGAAAAAGTAGTGCTCATGCTTCTGGGTACCTGCCACCAGATCACTTCCAGCGTCATCTACCAGCACAGTGTTGAGGTGGCTCATGAAGTGAAAGATGTGAGCCTGCTTTAGTAGGGGGCCCAGAACAATGCAAGCTTGCGGGGCCATTCAGGACCCTGGACTGTTTGGGGTTCCTCTCAAAGTCAAGTCGTTCCCGAAATCCTGCAATTTCCCGGGATTTAGGCTTTGTCTTGAAGCCATCTCTAAACCGATGCCCAGGGCTCTTGGCTTAAAGGCAAGCTTCTTTCCAAGATCCCGAAATCCGGGATCCCGAGCAGAAGCCAAAAATTCCCGATTAAAAAACCAGAATCAAAACTGTCTCGATCAATCCGGCAAAAGAGGTGGTCAGCAGCCAGCTTAACCTCCTGTACTGGGCCCTGCGGGATCCGCTTCAATGTGCTGGCCCCATGCTCGGGGCGCCGGATTGCTGGGCCTTTGAATCTCGAAGGCAGGCCTCCTTTCCAAGACCCAAACACCTGGAATTCCAAGAGGCCCCTTTCAAAAGCACGTAAAAAAATTGTCTCGATCAATCCGGCAAAGGGGTGATCCGGGAGCCAGCCCAACCTCCTATGATGGCCACTGTTTCGGGACCCGCTTTAATCTGCTGGCCCCAGGCCCAGGACTCGGGACTTCGATGCCCTGGCCTCTCGGGTTAAAACCCGAGCCGTGGAACTGCTAAGTCCACCGCAAGACCTAGCGCAAGACCAACAAAAAATATTGCCACTGAGAGGTGACCAACACTTGGCGCACATCTCCCGCAGTGAGGCGAGAGACTTCACGTCTGGGCAGGCGGCTCCCATCTCCTGCAGAGATGCTGCCCTCTCAATGTAAGCCCTATAGAAGCAGACCCATGAGAAGACTCTTCCACTACGTTCAAACTTACACTTTCAACGGATTCCCACTTTTCCAACTGCCTTGCACATCTCTTCACTGACCAAATTCTCGGTCGGGTGCACAAGGGGCTTGACGTCAAACATGTACCTGTCCCATCCGCCGACTTACATGGGACTTTCAAGGGCCTGAAAAAGGACTTGAATAGTTGACTTTGCACTGCTCTGCACTTCTGAAAGCCTTGAACACCTCGAATGTCCTCGATTCGCTTCGAATCCCTTTCCCTGCATAGCAACATAGCCGACGTAGCCATGCCGCCGACCCAGCGCCCTTTTGAATGCGGCGCTGCTATAGGAAACAGCGCGAGGTCGACACACAACATGTTTTTACTGCTCCTGCATTTTCAAAAGTGACGCCAGATGCTGAACAGACTCGCCAAGAACACAAGGGCGTTGGATGGCCAGGTGTGGATGTTCGGGGCAGAATTTAGTTCAGACTGTGCTCGAAGGGTGATCGAAGGTGATTTCCGACCAGGATAGGACAAGCAGCTGGCCCAAGCATTTTGCCCAGACTGTTTTCAAAACTTCTGACTCCAGGTACTTTGCAATCGGGCTGGGCCAAGCCTGTAACCCAAACGCAGAGTATGACTTCGAGTGGCAGCAAGTCATCGTGAAGGAGGCGAAAGTGAACTTTGGAATTCGTCGTGGTACAACAGATGTGAAATCTTCGTCTCGAAGAACTACGTTCCACGAGGAACCGTGGCAACGAGCTTTGTGAACGACCCCGATCTGACTTGGCACATGTTGGACATTGTTGGGAACGTTGGCGCTGCATCTTTGTTTCTCGTTCACTACTTGCAGGGGTGAGTCCGTCAGGTTGACTTGTACGAACCAGAGCCTGAGAGGATGAAATGGGCAAAACGCAATCTCCTACTGAAACCGATGGTTTTGAAAGCCATCCATTTTACCCTATTACTACTATCACCACTACCCTAATAAAGCAAATGCAAAGTAACGACATCAGCGAAAGCGTGCTCGACGAATGGTTTGTGCACACTCAAGTCACGAGTTTGCACAAGTTCCCCCCGCCCCCTTAAGAACAATGCGGCAGCGGCAGCAGCAGCAGGAGTGGGAGTGGGAGTGGGAGTGGGAGTGGGAGTGGGAGTGGGAGTGGGAGTGGGAGTGGGAGTGGGAGTGGGAGTGGGAGTGGGAGTGGGAGTGGGAGTGGTAGTAGTAGTAGTAGTAGTAGTAGTAGTAGTAGTAGTAGTAGTAGTAGTAGTAGTAGTAGTAGTAGTAGTAGTAGTAGTAGTAGTAGTAGTAGTAGTAGTAGTAGTAGTAGTCGTAGTCTTAGTCGTAGTCGTAGTCGTAGTAGTCGTCGTCGTCGTAGTCGTAGTAGTCGTAGTAGTCGTAGTAGTCGTAGTAGTCGTAGTAGTCGTAGTGGTCGTAGTGGTCGTGGTCGTCAGCAACTCCTTCCGCGTGGTTGACTCGGGCAGCTGTCGTGGTGGCTGTGGCAATTATTTGCGCATGGTGGTTTTCGTATTGTGCGTTTTGCGCGGTGGCTAGAAGAGTTGCTCAAGATGTTGAACATGGCTGGTAGCGGGAGGAGGAGGGGGGGGGGCTCCTCCTACTCCTCCTGCTATCGCTACTCCTACTGCTCCTCCAATTACATATCCGCCGACCCCAGCAACAGCGGGGCGGCGTCAGTGAAGACCCTCTGTTTGTTTCCCCCCGCCACACCCCACCGATTAGAAACCCACCCCTCCCCCAACCCCTCCCCCCAAACCCCCCACCCCCCCCCCTGCCCTACCCCCCGACCCCCCCCCTCCGCCTGATACCCCCCCTCCGCCGATGAGGCAATGATTTAGAGGCTCCAGCACACGCCCGCCCTCCCGCCCCCCACCCCCCCCCGACACCCCGCCTCCCCTTCTCACCCCCCCACCCCCTCACCCCCTAACCCCTCCTCGCCCCCCCCACATTCCACTGCTTGCGACGCCCCCCCCCTCACCCACCCTCCCACACTGCCCTCCTCCAGCCCCCCCCCCCCTCCCCGACCTCTCCCCCTCCCACTCACACCGCCCTCTCACCCGCCCCCCCCCTGCCCTACCCCACCTGCTGCCGACCCCCCCCTCCGCCTAAACCCCCCCTCCAGTCCACGCCCCCCCTCCCTTCCCGCCCCCCTCCCCCCCCCCCCCTACCCCTCCCCACACCCCGCCTCCCCTTCTCACCCCCCCACCCCCCACCCCCAACCCCTCCTCGCCCTTCCCCCACATTCCCACCCTCTTACACTGGCCCCCCTTCCGGCCCCTACCCCCCCCCCCCAACCCCCCCGACCCCCCCCCCCCACCCCCCTCCACACCCCACCCCCCCCCCCCCCCCCCCCCCCCCGCCTCAACCCCTCACCCCCCCGCCCCCACACCCCCATGATAAACCCACCTCCCCCCAAACCCCCCACCCCCCCCCCCCCCCGCCCTACCCCCCCCCTCCTCGCCGATGAGGCAATGAGAAAAAAGGGCTCCCGACACCCCCCCACCCCCCTGACCCCTCCTCCCCCCCCACATTCCCCGCCCCCCCCCTTCGCTTCCCCCCCCCTCACCCACCCCCCCACACTGCCCCCCTCCAGCCCCTGCCCCCCCCCACCCCCCCCCCCCCCCCGATTAGAAACCCACCCCCCCCCCACCCCTCACACACCGCCTCCCCCACCCCCCACCCCAAACCCCCCAGCCCCCCCCTGCCCACACTCTGTTTGTTTCCGCCCCCCCCGACCTCCCGCATCCCTGCCCTTACCGACAACCTCCTCCACTCCACCTCTCCAAACATTTTGTGTTTGTTCCCCCCCCCCCCCGACCTGCCCCCATCCCTGCCCTGACCGCAAACTCTTCCACTCTCCACTGACCCCCCTCCGTCCCCCGCCCCACCCCCCGCCCCAACCCCCTCCATTAAGAGAAACCCACCCCCCCCCAACTCGCCTCCCCCCCCCTCCACGCCCCACCGCCTCCTCCCCCTACCCGCTACCCTCCCATTCCTCCATCCCTCACACCGCCCTCCCTGACCCCCCACCCCAAACCCCCCACCCGCCCCACCCGCTGCCGACCCCCCCCTCCGCCTAGATCCCCCTCGCCGATGAGGCAATGTTTAAAGGCTCCAGTACACGCCCGCCCTCTCCCGCCCTTTCCGCCCCCCCCACCCCCGCTCCCCCCACTCCCCCCGCCCTTCCCACCCCGCCGACCCCCTCCGCTGGACTGGCGTGTTTTAAGGGCTCCAGTGCATGCCCCACTCCTGCCCACCCCTCCCGCTGCCTTGCTGTTAGAATGGAGTGGTCACCCCCACCCCCCCACCCCCTAACCCCTCCTCCTCCCCCCCCCACATTCCACCGCCCCCCCCTCCTCCCGCCCTCCCCGCCCCCCCCGCCCCGCCCCCACCCCCCCCAACCCCCCCGCCCTCCAGGTCCCGGCCCCACCGAGCCCTCACCAACACCCCACCAGCCCCCTGCCCCCCCCTCCCCCCCCGCCCCCCCCCCACACCCCACCACCCCCCTCGCCACCCACCCCATCCCCCACCCCACCCCCCCACCCCTCCACCCGACCGCAACTCCACCTCTCCGAACACTCTCTGTTTGTTCCCCCCACCCCCCCCGACCTCCCCCAATCCCTGCCCTGACCGCAACCACTCCACCTCTCCGTCCCCCCCACCCCCCCGCCCCACCCCCCGCCCCCAACACCGCCGATTAGAAACCCAACCCCCACCACCCTCCACCCCCCACCAGCCACGCCCCCCGCAGGCCTACCCCAACCCCTCACCCACTGCCACACCCCACCACCCCCCACCCCCCCACCCCTCCCTCCTCAACCCCTCACACCCGGCCCCCGACCTCCCCCCATCCCTGCCCTGCCACTCCACCTCTCCACTTACCCCCCTCCCCCCCGCCCCCCCTAACCGTCCACCCCTAGCACCCCGCCGAAAACCGCCCCCCACACCCCGACCCCCCCCCCCCTACCCTTACCCCCTACTCACACCGCCCCCCACCCCTCACCCCCCACCCACTGCCCTAACCCCCCTGCTGCCGACCCCCCCTCCCCGCCCCCCCCCACTCCTCACATCCCCCGCAGGCCGCCCCCTCACCCTCTCCAACCCCCCCCCCCCCCACCTGCTGCCCCACCCCACCTGCTGAAGACCCCCCCCTCCGCCTATACCCTCCCTTGCCGATGAGGCAATGATTTAAAGGTTCAGTGCACGCGCCCTCCCCGCCCTTCCCGCCCCCTGCCCCACCCCCCCCCCCAAACCCGCCCCCCCCCACCCCCGCCCTCTTTCTCACCCCCCCACGCCCCCCCTCCTCGCCCCCCCCCATTCCCCCCCCCCCCCTTTGGCTTCCCCCCCCCCTCCACCACCCCCATCGCCACCCACGCCCATCCCCCCACCCCACCCCCCCCCCCCACCCTCCCTCCTTCAACCCTCACACCCTCTTCCACGTCTCCACTTAACCCCCCTCGTCCCCCGCCCCACCCCCCGCCCCAACCCCCTCCCCCCCCCCCCCTGCCACCCCCCCTGCCTCCACCCCCCCTCCACGCCCCACCGCCTCCCAACCCCCTACACCCAACCCCTACCACCCCCCCCCTGCCTCCACCCTCCCCCCACCAGCCACGCCCCTCACATCCCCCACAGACCTACCCCTACCCGCTACCCCTCCGGCTCACACCGCCCTCCCTGACCCCCCATCCCAAACCCACCCCCCCCCTGCCCTGCCCCACCCGCTGCCGACCCCCCCCCCTCCGCCTATACCCTCCCTCGCCAATTAAAAATTGATTTTTGGCTCCAGCACACGCCCGCCCTCCCCGCCCTTCCCGCCCTTCCCGCCCCCTCCCCCCCCACACCCCGCCTACCCTTCTCACCCCCCCCCCCCCCCCCCCCCCCCCCCCCCCCCACCCCCCCACCCCTCCACATTCCACACCCCACCGATTAAAAACCCACCTCCCCCCACCACCCCCCGTCTGCCTCCACCCCCCCCCCACCAGCCACGCCACGCCCCTCACATCCCCCGCAGGCCTACCCTCTGCCACTCCCTTCCCCTTCCCTACCATTCCACTCCCACCCGCTACCCCTCCCCCTCCTCAATCCCTCACATACCGCCCTTCCTTACCCCCCACCCCAAACCCCCCAGCCCCCCCCCTGCCCACACTCTGTTTGTTTCCCCCCCCTGCCCTGACCGACAACCTCCTCCACTCCACCTCTCCGAACACTCTCTGTTTGTCCCCCCCGCCCCCCCTGACCTCCCCCCATCCCTGCCCTGACCGCAAAATCCAGTACACGCCCGCCCTCTCGCCCTTCCCGCCTCTCCCCACCCCCCCCTCTCACCCCCCCACCCCCCTTCGCTTCCCCCCCCCCCTCACCCACCCTCCCGCACTGCTCCCCTCCCTGTTTGTTCCCCGTGTTTTTTCCCGGGGCCTTCCCCCATCCCTGTGCTGACCGCAACCTCTTCCACTCCATTCCTCTGTCCGTCCCCCCCACCCCCCCGCCCCGCCCCCCGCCCCACCCACACCCCGCCCTGCCTCCACCCCCCCACGAGCCACGCCCCTCACATCCCGCACAGGCCTACCCTCTAAACCCCCCACCCCCCCCTGCCCTACCCCACCCGCTGCCGACCCCCCCCTCCGCCAAGACCTCCCCTCGCGGATGAGGCAATCATTTACAGGGTCCAGTACACGCCCGCCTTTTTCGTTTTTTCCGCCCTTCCCGCCCTTCCCCCCACCCCCCTCCCCCACCCCACCCCCCGCCCCCCTACCCACCCCACCCGCCCAACCCCCGCCGCCCCCTCCTCCCCATCCCCATCCTGCAGGCCTTCCCTCTACCAGCTACTCCGCCCCTCATCCCTGCCCACTCCACCTCTCCTACCCTTTTTCCCCTGCCCCCCCCACTACCCTTCCCCTTCCCAACCATTCCACTCCTCCTGCCCTGCCCCTCTCCTCTCCCTCCCCACCCGTCCTCCTCCCCCCCGTCCCTGACCTCCCACCCCACACACACCCACCTCCTCAACCCCTCACATGCCACCTCCCCCCACCCCACCCCCACCCCCACCCCTACCCCAAACCCTCCCCCCCCCTCGCCTCGACCCTACCCTTCCCGCACTGGCCCCGCCACCCCCCCTCCCCAGCCCCCCTGCCCCTCCTCAATCCCTCACCTACTGCGTTCTCCAAACCCCCCCCCCTCCGCCTATACCCCCCTCGCCGATACCCTCTACCCAACCATTCCACTCCCTTCCCCTGCCCCTCTTTCTCAGTACCCTTCCCCTTTCCAACCCCATCCCTTTACATATACCGTTTCAGAACTTAGAACCAAGGTTTACGGTTTCGGCGCTTAGAGCAGAGGCATTATCTCCCAGAGTTGAGCAGGAGAAGAAGGGGGGGGGGGAAACGAAGGGATAGGGTTTGGGCAGCTTGGGCGTTTGCCTCCAAGGGGTCGGCGGCACTGGCGGTAGCCATTAAATAAAGTTACAAAGCAATGCAACATGTTGCAACTAAGCATCGAACGAATTTATAATTCACGCGGAGGCCCTTGTTCGAGGCCTGATGTTTCGGACAGTTGGTGCAACTCGCCTTGCTTGGGGATAAAAAGCATGCAATTCTTGCCCAAGGTCTACCGTGGATCTTAGCCAAACCGCATCAACCGCGACAGCAGGAAATCGGCATTTGAATTGAAGCTTGCTGCCTCGAAGATCAAGAATGTGGAAAGGACTCTTGTACTATACTGGTGTTGAATTGCAATTATTGAGTTCCGTTCGCAGTAGTTGAGTACTTTCGGATGTGCCGTGGTGATCACTGAGCGCCAAAGCGCCGCATGGCAGGGAATTGCACACGAAGACACTAAGACTAAGACACATTCGGACTTGAATTGGGGGAGATATTCGGAGTGGTGGCCGCACCAGTCCGCTGCGAAGTTCAAGACTCGGGCCTGCCATGCATGCTTCGCCAAGGGCATCATAGCATGTCTGTCGACACCCGAGCATCTGCTACTACTGCGATGGGTACAGCCTTCTCACGGAAATATGCTATCCGGTCCTCCATCTGGTACCTTGCTGCAATCTTTGTTGCGCCAGCTGGGTGCAGCTAGAACATGGCGTATCATGGAAGCTCAGAACACTGAAAAGGGGCACTGAGCGAAGGCTGCCTGACCAGTCAAACACTCCGCAGTTCGCACATCCACTCCGCTGAACAAGGACCTGCGGCGCAAAGAGTGAGCTGCCCACAAAGATCGCCTGAGAAGGATGATTCGGTCACATGCGAAAGGGTGCACAACAGATTGTATTCTGCCAGATCGCACCAACAGAGAACATGATACAGAAACAAGTCTGGTGTGGGGAGTCACTGAAGACAATGCCAAACAGTCTTAGGTCTGGCACATCTACCACGAAAGACCGCACCACCACAGACAAAAAAAAACACACACACACACACACACACACAGTCAGACAACGTCATGCACACACACACACGCACACATTGCGTGTGCGGAGAAAAACGTCTATCCACGGCAAGCCATCACTCAACCAATTGGTCCATCACGATAAGACGATGTGAGACGAAGACTCTGGTGATGCAGGGTTAGTCTATGAGGCTGTCACAGCGCTGTATCCCACACATCGTCTACTACATCGCTTGCAACACCGCGACTGCCACGGAGCCATCTTGTGAGAGTGTTTAGAAGCCGGGGTACAAATCATCGCTCACGATTCCTCATTCCTCACCCAAGAAAGCATGCCAAAGTCAAGGATGCCCTGAATAGCTAGAGTATTCGAGATCACCCGAGATCACTGCATCTCTGCGTGAGCAGCCCTGGACGCTTTGGCGGCGAAGCGATGCGCGAAGTGATGCGCCTCTCGGGAGAAAGGGAAGCAGAACAGAGAGCCGAGAACAGAGAGCAGAGAACAGAGAGCAGAGAACAGAGAGCAGAGAACAGAGAGAAGCGAGCTGTTTTGTGCGCAGAGTTCCAATCTAGGCAATCTATGCTGTCTGTTGTCTACCTCTCCGACAACCTTTTTGTTGAGCCAACGCACGGGTGTATGCCCGTGCGTTCGCGGACTCCGACCCACTTTGTTGTTCTCTGACGCTGGTTATGTATTTATATATATATGTATATATACATCAGGTGTCCTCCAAGGCACGTCGCCAGAGCGGCCCATGCAAGCCACGCCGGCCTCCGAGTTGAGCCAGCGTCTGGAAAGAAGAGAGAGCTCGAGAGAGAGAGAGAGAGATCACTCTCAGCAAAAGGAGAAAACAACCGCATCATCTCGCTCCACTCGAGAAAGGAAGCTTGAGCACTAGTTTTTTGACTCGTGCATTCATGCACTCTTTACTTGTTTCCACAGCGTGAGTGTGTATTCTATGAGAAGCCTGTCAATATTTTGCTCGCTCCACTCGAGACAGGAAGAGAGAGAGAGAGAGAGAGAGGGGGCGAGAGACTCTCTTTTCCACAGTGTGTGTTTCTATGCAGTGCCCATGTCTGGGATATGCGTTTGCATTGCTTGCTGGTTCCATGGTGCGATGTTGCGTTTCTTGGCCCTTTTCGACAGTCGGGAGTGTCTGACATGCCATAAATGCGACATGCTCCTTCGCAGATACTGCATTCAGCGGCATGCCATCCATCCACTCCTTTGCTTCTCGGTTCTTGACCTGGTGCTTCCTTGGTGTACAACTGGTGTACATGCGTGCGCGCGACTCGTTTCCCAGTGCCAGTTTTGGGCGAGGCTTGGTATACGGAATGTCGAATTCTTACCAAGATAGCCCAACAGCCCAACATTGCTCTGAGGAGGAGGATCCGGAGACTGTTCCAGAGAGGCGTCCGGCCATGTTGAAACATCAAGATGAGGATTCTCAACTTTTCGGTACTAGTACTTGCTGATAATGTCAATGCATTCGTAAAAAAGCAGGAGACATGTCAAGTATCCTTATGAGACTCCACAACTCGAGACAACAATGCGAAAGATCGCACTCGCAAACTGGGTTGTCTCGTGGATCGCGAGAGCCTGCCGCCCTCGTTCTGGCTCTCGCTCCGGCTCTCGTTCTGGCTCCTACTCGCTGCCAGCCTCGGGGCTCGGCTTTGCTTTGGGGAATGCAGGGAATGTGCAGGATGATGCAGGCTCAGGATGGCTCAGGGCAGATGGGCAATCTGGTGTAGGCGTCGAACTTTACAGAAGTTTTTGTTGGGGCTGCCCGAGTCGGCATTGCTCAGGCTGAGGCGTCACACAGCGCTCCTGCCAGAGATCTTTCGGCTCCGAAACCACTGAAAAGACAGAGACGCTCCAGAAATTCTCAGGTCCCCAAGCAGCAAGTCCTGTCTCGCGTTGAACTTTGGCGACCACGGAGCAACGAAGCCTGCCCATGGCATCAAGCAAGTTCGCGGCTCGCAAAGAGATATCATTGGAAATCTTTAGGAAGCACTTCTACTTGCAAGAGTGAAGTGAACAATTACTCCCCGAGGAGACATGATCTTCTCGTGGTTCGTCGTCTACGTCGTGTGCGGCTCTTGAAATGGTCCTTGATAGCAGATAGCAATACCGAGGAGCCCACCAATGGCCGAGGCCCCCAGAAGCACAATCGTCCTGGCATCATGTTCGCAGAGTACTCCCACGTTAATTTAGGGGTTTTCGATGTAACTGTGGTCTGGGAGGTTTGCAACTCTCTCAGACCAAATTTCAGGCGATCGGCGGGGGCGGGCACAGGGCTGTTCATCGTATATCTCTTCGTTCGAGATGCAAAAATGTACAATGTACAAAGCAGGGCATCTCTTGAGCCCCGGGCCAAGACACCAGCAATCGAGACACCATGGCACACGCAGGGCACACGGGTCCGAGACTTTGTCAATGCAGGGAATGGGGCAATGGTGGGGGAAATCTCTTCCACCCGCGCTGTACATCTGGGACTGACATCTTGCTGCCGGCTGCTTGTCAGGCACGCATTGAGCCGCCCGAGCTGGCGGGACAGTGTGGCAAGTACATGTGCTAAACTCCAAACTCAATGCGTGCCACATGTGCGTAGCAAAGTGCAACAGCATCGTGTGCATGCACCGCTGCGTGAACTCTCGTCGCTTTTATTCCCTCGCTTCTGCCTGTCTGTTGCTGGTTAGTGCCTCCCTTAGCCGTCCTAGCCGCCCAGGCGCATGCCCGTCCCCTGAAAAGCCTGGAAGGTGGGTGCCTGGGGCTCGTTTGGAGCTTGTGGACCCGGGAAATTGTTGCCACCTCTTTGAAGCATGGGCCCCGCAAGCATGGGCCCCATTGGCCCATCGACATTCGCCATGTTGGCATTCAGTAAGTTGTGCAGCTTGAGGCCTTGGTATGCGCCAGCACCCTGACAGATGAAGGAGACGAGCACGAAGGGCCCTCCCACCAAGAGCTTTAGTGTCAGGAAGATGGCATTCAGCCCAGCCAGGAAGGAGTACGCCATCACGCAACTTAGCCCATGGCCCCCTACCGTGCATTGACCGAGAGGACTGTTTGCCAAGCAAGCGTAGCAAGGTGCCACATTCGGGTCATCGCTTAGCAAGAAGATCCCAACAATCCCAGACAGGATCTCGTTGATGGGAATGTCCCCGGTGCAGAAACGCCCGACGGCGGCCATGAAGGTGCCAATCACGCAGAATCGAATCCGACGCATCTTCTCGAGCATCTCTGGCGTAGGTGGGCCCACATTGATTGGAGCTGGTGCACCCAGCGGGATCATCACAAAAACACACACGGATACTACACAAAGGGACCCGGGACAGGTGTTCTTTTCTGCATGAGTTGCCGACTTACGACTTAAGACTGCCCTACTCAGTGTGCGGTTTGGCTCTTGTGTGAGGGCTGCAAACTTTGCAGAGTGCCGTGTCTTGTATTGTCACAACTCCGTCATTTCTCTTGCCTGACCTGCTGTGCCGAGAGCCATGAGAGGTTGCCCAAGATAGCTGTAGCATCCAAGAGAAGCCTTGTGGCGAACCGAGCCTGGCTATGGCATACAGCTAGCACAACGACACTTGTTCCGCTGAACTTAAAGCCAGTTGAAGGAACATGCAAAAGGGAAGCTCAAGGTGACGTGAACCTTCTGAAACCCAAGATGTCTCCAGATGCCTTGGACGCCAAGGATGCTCGATAAAGAGTACCAACTATAGGATAGGCTCCGTAGTAACCGTGGAGTTTGGAGATTGTGAGAAGCATAAGCGACCTGCAGTACACGACGAAAAGCTAACTGGCGGATGCAGTCATGTGCTGCACCTGAACACTTTCCGCTCTGATGAGCTGCGAAGCGAACAAGTATGCAGTCTCAAGCTGTGAAACAAGGCCAAGTCTGCAAGTTCGGCGGCCGCCCTGGCCCTTGTGTCTTCCAGAAGTCGTTCCATCGTCGCCCCCTTGCAGCTTCATCTCCAACCCGTTCCGAGCGGGCTTCACGCAGCTTCCGTCCGCAAGGCTACGCATTCGCCATGCTGAGCGTTTTGTAGTTGAGCTGTTTTGCGAGGTGCACTTCGCAGTGAAAGACATGAATTGGAAGCAGCGCGTCACTAGCACTTCAACAGGGTGTCCGTAGCATCGTGCATCTTGGCTGGGCATCATGAATCTCGGACTTGGGCGGAATGAAAGCGCTTTCAGCAGCCTTCCGCGTTGCTGAACTCCGTCTTTTCATACCTTTGGCATTCGCGTGGCAAATGTAAAGCGGAGTCAGTAGAGGCCAGGCCCTGTCCATACTCTTCGCGAGCAGTTCCGGGGCATCAGTGCTAAATGCACATCTTGGACCACCAGCAGCTGAGAGCATCCTCCGCGTCGTCCCCCGCTGCAACTTCGGACTTCGAGCCATGGTTCACGGCCATGTGCCACGGCGGGGTGTCACCGAGTTTTCCCTTTGCCCTTGCTGGAGATCAAGGCTTCTGCCGCAGCTGCCGAGGCCTCAACGATGGCCAAAAAGAGGAGAAGCAGAGGAGAGAAGAAGGCGTCAAAGTTGGGCGTGGGCCCTGAAAAAGGAGCTCTCCGTCTCTGAGTGAATTAAGAGGGCTCTCCCTGGGCTCTCCCCTGGCCCAAGCCAGCGGCAACGGCGCCAGCAGCCCAGTCCCCATCTGCCTTTGACCTCAGTGGACTGGGATTGTGGGACTGCAGAAAAAAGCAGGAACTGCAGGAATTCGCTTGACAGGCTTTTGATGCATCTTGATGTCCTCCCTTTCATGAGACGTTGCCGGTTCTCGCAGGTGGCTTGACGAGTTGCTGCAAACCCTTGCAAAACCCGCGTGTCTTGATCCGACCTCCCAAACGTTGATGTGGCTACTCGTGCCCCCTTGACTCAGCTTTTCGCTGCAGCTGCCTGGCACGGATCTGGGCTCGATTCTTCGCATCCTCTCGCAGGCACTCTGTGCTGAAGCAGCCCTGAAAGCACAGATCTGTCCTTCGCAGCTGTTAGCTCCTTGGCAAGAGCTTGACATGCCATGTTCGACCTCGGTCGCTTCGCAGAGCAATGGAAGCTTGTGAGCTTCGAGGTGACCGAGGTGACCGAGGTGACTGTTGGCATGTTGAGGACAATGCTCTTCCAACATAGCCGCCTGATGCTTCAACTCTTCGCCTCAGGTGCTCGCATGGATCTCCCACTCCTCGTGTATCAGCGACCAGCACATACCAGCCCTAATCCGGAGGATGACCCCCCCCGCCCCACTTCATACTCATATTTCTATAGCTTTCTAGTACTCTATAGTATTTACCACTCCTATTTCCAAGTCGAGGCACGCAGGCGCCGGAGCTCCGCCTCGCGGCGCTTGGCCGCGGCCGTACCGAGCACGCTGGCGCGCTCCGCCTGGCAGCTTATAAGGAGTTAGAAAGAGCTGACTCCACAAGAAAAAGCATCGCTTAAAGTCGGTGAGGCTTTTGCATTGCAAAATGCCTTGTTCCGTTTTGAAGCTTTAGCTGTGTTATGTGGGCGCCAAGGGAGGGGAATTCGTATAGTGTGTGGCGTACGTTACGTGATGCGTGATGTGCGGTGTGGTGTGGTGTGTGACGTGGTGTTGCGTAGTGCGGCTGCTGCCTCATCGGGGTGGATGCTAACGCCACTCGTGCCTGAAGAAAGAGAGAAAGTGTTCTTCTGTTGCTGTGAGGGTGGTGGATGCCGCTGGTGTGGGTGGGGGATGTAGTTGTCACAGAAGGCTCACTTTCCCATGATCGACGTCTGACAGACAGAGTATACAGTATACTTCCTGTTGCAGGTTTAACCTCAAAGTTCCAACCTCTTGTATGCACCAAGACTTCGAGAACAAGCGACCTTTCCGTCGGGACAGCAGAAGATGTGGGTTCTGCTGTGCAAGATGCTGCCATCCAAACTTGAATGACGTGACGATTTCTGACAGTTGCATCCGCCTGCCGAGATGTGCTGCCTATTGCTGCTTTCTCAGCGTCTCAGCAAAGACTTTCGTGACATGCCCTTACGATTTCTTACGTTTGTTCGATCACACGAGACCTTTGAGCCGAACCCTCGAATAGGCATCGCGGCAATTTCAGAAATCTACACTTCCCTAAAAGCAGGTTCTCATCAGTTTCTGAAAGATATGAAAGGAAACGGTGAAGGTGATTACCAATGATTACTGTAAGGTTCGTGATTGCAAGCTCTGCAGATCGATGTGTCTTGTGTCTGTGTGCTTGTTGTGCGCCTCACCCAGGCGCTGCTGCAAGCCATCTCGCTCCGCCTACGGGAAAATCCATGCTTGGTGGGAAGAGATGTAGCAATGTAGGTTCTGCCTAATTTGATTCTTGAGAGGGGCAACATGACATCTGCACAGCGATCGCAACATTCTGGCACGGGTAACTCACGCGCATGACAGCGATATGGCGATACCGCACGAGACCGAAAATCACAGTAAACCCCCGCATCGAGTGTCATCCAGGCCGCGCCCGAGCTTCGCAAAGGAGAGCGCAAACGGCGTGGAACACCTCCAGAATACCCATGGCGTGTCACGTGCTCAATACTGTGGTGAACCTTTGCCATGCTTGACAAGCTTGCCACTCTCAACCGTTGCTTCTCCCCATGCAGTTTCTGAGGGACCTGATCGTAATTCTGAGGCCGCGCGAGGCAATCACGCACCGTGGCCCAAAGGCGGGGGTCCTGATGATGAGCTGCGCATCACACTTCCGACTTAATGTATCAGCCCACGTCAGGACTTCACGAACCTGGCTGATGTCAGCTCACGTCAGAGAACACTCCAATCACTTCACCGACTTTCGTTCCCCGCAGTAGTGAAGTCGGCTCCTCATGCTGGCCATCCTCAACCTCTGCGAAAAGTCGTACACCCAAACGAACGCCTAGTTAAAACCAAGACGACCCAAGATGCGCCTAAGATGAAGCTACTGCAGCTACTGGGCCAATCTCTGTGACCCGGGCTTTGGGCTCCAGCGTCGTCCTGCTCCGCCTCGCAAGCTTTTGAACGGTGTCACTGGCAGCTTCAGGCAGCTTCAACATGGCTCAACGCGCGCATGTATGGCTTCGGTTGCACGGGCGGTGGAGCGACAAAAGCTTTCGACTGCAAGACCTGTAGGAGAGCTGAGTTGTCCAGCCTGCTCGGAGTTGCGCTCCGTGCACGTCGTCCTGAAAAGTCCAACGAGTACAGGGTGCTGGCTTAGAGCTCGCTTTGATCCACACTTGAAGCTGTCACTACTGTCGCTGCTCTTCGGGGCAAGTGCCTGGTTGCTGGCTGGTGTTCCCATCCTGCCTGGGCTGCTGGCCGCACTTTGTGGAACGGAGTACACTGGAGCACAGTGGAGTAATTACAGCGACGCGGTGAAAGAGTAGGATACCAGCTCGCACCCGGGCTGACAGACCTGACAAGATGCAGAGGGGGCCCCTCTCAACAGCACCGGCAAAGGAGTTGGCATCCGTCCAGGGCTCCAAAGAATTCACTTGGCGAGAGCCTGCCTCTGGCATCGCCTGTGGAACCGGCCGGGGCTCCTCCGACTTATAAACAGAAGCCATTCGATGCGCGCCGATGCCAACCCACAAGCGCCTGGAACAGGTCTCCATCCCCCCTTCCACAACCCGTCCCCCCTCGGACCCTGCTGAGACCCCCCCACCCCCCCCGAAGCCGCTGGAGGTGCTGCACAGCATCCTTCGGCTGACGGCTGGGCTTTTGAGTTTTGATTCATTGATTCTTACTTTCTCAGACTTCTCGGCCGCTCTCCGCTGTTCCTCGACCTCCGGTCGCATTCCGACATCAGACGAGAGCATTCCAAGTGATGGCCTCTGCCGCGGAGCCCAAGCTCTCCCGCACCAGCTCCACGGCCTCTTGGGGGAGTGCATATGCCAACATCACATAAATTACGCCAACCATACCTTCAAAAACTCAGTAGGCTCCGCTTGTGCTCACAGCTGTCCCCCGCCTTGGTGCTGCCTCGCAGCTCCACCAAGGGGTAGAAAGGCCCACGCAGCGGCAACCACACCTCTCAGAGAGAGCTGCGGCTTTTCCTTGCTTCTCGCACATCCCTGGTTGACTTGGTCGACTTGGTCTAGAGGTGCCCCCCTAACCTTTGTAGGTTCAACCGTTCAACCTGCGGTTGGTAAGATACTCCGCTAGTTGCAGCTCCATGGGGGCTAGCTTTCGTGATTTGATGGGATTTCCCTGAACCCCCCCCCCCCCCCCCCGCCTGGCAACCCGCGACACTCTTGCCGTTCACCCGCACCTGCCAGCTGTGGTGATGCTGCGAATAGATGGGGGCTTTTGGGTGGTCCGGGCCCTTCTTAGGTGCATGCTTGGAACTCGCCAGCAGCGCTCAGGAAGACGTGAACCTGCAGACCAAGACTCACTGAAGACGCCAAGTAAGAAGTACAGATGCTCACCGATTCCGGTGTATACACACAAAATGGAAGACTTGTGGCTCAGAAGCGGCATAAGTCGGCACAGTGGTTGTCAACTCCTGCCTGGTCACCCACCTGCAGCTGGCTGGTGTCCCAGGAGATATACTGACCTTAGTGGTTCGGGAAGGTTCTACCACGTTCGCCCGAAGTCTTCCAGCGAATCTTCCAAACGATTCTGGGCAGAGCGGCACTCGCTCCCATCCCAGAGGGTGCCCTCGCCACCAGCCACGACGCTGTCTTCCAGCATGCGGTGCTCAAGGTGCTCAGATGCAGTTCATGCAGTTATGGCATGTGCAAACGCCCAGGCCCGAAGAAGGGCCGAAGCCACCGACGTCTCGATATCCCCATCCCATGAATTCTTAAGCTCCGACCTGGCACGTCTGCGGCAAAGTCCACATCGGGTCGCAGGGCGAGGCCTGGGCCACACGTTGACGTTTAGTCAAGCGAGACCCGCCATGGTGTGACAGTGATCACAGATCATCCGCCGACAAATGACAGACCGCGCATGTTCCAGGATTGTTCTCTGCCGCGCCCAGAAGGTGCATCCCGATTTCAGGCCGCGGAAACGTGGCAACCTCCAGCGTGTCTAAGATTGTAATTGTAAGACTTAGGGCTTGGGATGTCTTCGTCAGTGCATATAGGACTGCTTGCGAACTGTGATCAATGCGGCTTCCACGTGCAATTCTACAAGCTGCCCAGAATTTGATAGTGCCACCTTGACTCGCATGATGCTCATGATGCTCGCGTTTGCTTCCACATGTCAATCTGCAAGCTGCCCAGAGCTTGCGTTCCCGACGGACCCAAAATACCCAAACGCAGCACAGCAGTGTTACCTGCGACAACGCCTTCTCCACCAGCACACTTACACGCTGTCCAGAATAGCGCCAACTTGACTCGCATGATGCTCATGATGCTCGTGATCCCAAGGGACCCAAACACAGCACACCCGTGTGAGGACGCATGAAAACCCTCGTCTTCTTGCCTTTTGCGTGTCCCTGAATGGCGATATCGTTTTTGTCTTTCATCCTCTCTTGTCGTTCTACAGAGTTTTGGGACAAGCTTAGCATACGGTGCCGGTTTTCAAATACCCGGACATGCAAAAAGTCAAGCAGGTAGTAGTTCATACGACCTCCGCAAAGCACGGCGTCAGGCCGCCCGCCTTCAAACATCCGGAAAGAAACCCTCAGCCAACCCAATCCTCCCAACCCTCCAGTTCTCTAGCCGCTCGCCTCCAGCCAACCCCCCGCCCACACACCCCCTTCCAGTCCAGGCCCCCCTCCAGCCAGCCCCCCATCAGCCAACCCGCCCCCCACCCCCCCCCAGCTAACGGTCCTAGCAGGCACATCTAGAAGCTTCGACGTGTGCTGGTTTTAGTACTGGCCGGCTGGATTCTCCTTGGTTTGTAGTACAAGCTTAGTACTGCAGTGAACAAGTTCTGCGAGCCGGCTGAATTTTCATAGACTTGATTTGTAGCACGGCTTAGCATCGGAATCGACGTTTCCATGAGCCAGCTGCATTGTCATGAGCCGGCTGCATTTTCATGCATCTGTGGTACAAGCTTATAGTCGACATTTCCGGAGCCGGCTGGATCTTACAAGCTGTAGTTTGTCTACCGGAACCCGTGAGGCCCGCTGGATTCTCATTGATTTGTAGTACGGACATACAATTTAGTACTGGAAACGAACTTTCCATGAGCCGGCTGGATTGTTCTTTGTTTTGCTTGCGTTCCCGGCGGGCCCAAACACAGCACCCTCGTGAACTCTGATAACTCCTGCTTCTGCTTGCAAATCTACAAGCTGCCAAGAACAGCGCCACCTTCGCTCGCATTATGCTCATGATGCTCGAGGGAAAGACGTCAGAAAGAGATAGAAAGAGTGTGAAGCAGCTGAGGATTGGGCTGTCTGGGCTTGTCATCGTTAGGCCGACCTTGCAGTTGGACCCATGGTGGGCTCTCTTCTCTCTCTCTCTCTCTCTGTTCTCTTTTCGGGCGGCCCGAAGATATCGAAATGGAGCAAATTCAGCTGCGGCACCCAAAGCCCAGAACTGAGCCCGCTGTCCACATCAGCAATCAGGAGGCTGAAAGCCTTGGCAAACTCCGCCCATGGCCGGTCAGCGCCCCAACATCTCTCAACATTGTTCCATTTTATTTTGATTCTGGGGCCGTCTTGGGGCAAGCACCCATCCAAGTGTCGTGCTGGACCCCCTTACCGGGCCTGGAATAGACACGGCCTATGCACTTCTCACACGACATGGCGAAGAACAAAGAATCAGCACTGTCGCTCTGAGTGTGAAGACATGGTGCTCGGGCGATGGCAATGCCTGTCAGCAAAGACCAGCAACCACTATTCTGCTGCCGAAAGACGGAGCGAGCAGTATCAGCAAGCACTGCGTGGTGTTTGTGCTTTTGCTTGAAACTCTTGGTTGCAATGCACTCCATGTGGTGTCGACAACTTGAGACAGTTGGCCCCGAAAGCGTTTCGCAGTGGTCGCAAACGCTGTGAACCCACGTGCTCACCGGGTCGGGGTGTAGGGGCAGCTCCGCGCGTGCTTTAAAGCGCCAGTTGCCTCGGAAGGCTATAGGGTAGGGTGGGGGGGGCGGGGGGGCAGGCGGCGGCAGGCAGTTGCAGTCTGCTGGACAAGATGATCACAGAGTCCCCACCTCTGGGCACACCCTTGCGACTCGCCGTCGCCTGCACGTCTACACCAGACCATGAACCCGCTGGTTCCTCAGACATGGATCTTGCCGAATCTTCGGAACAGCTTGAACCCATTTTAGAACCATTCGAACCCATTTGAGCCCTTGAAAGCGCCTGGCTGTGACCAGACAGCACGAGGCTCTCACTGCTGGCTCGGCGGTGGAAGCCGAGGCCCTGAAGGCCGGAGATGAGATTAGACTCAGACTCAACGAGACAGGTCAGACCTCAGAGGCTCTAGAGCTTTAGGAAGTCTCTGAGATCCAGGCAGCAGATGTTCGACTTCCCAGCGCCGCCATGCAAAGACTGGGGTGAGGTTGAGGCGAGCAGAGGCGAGCAGGGTTGTGACCAGGAAGGGGTGTTGGCATCTGTTGGCAGCGGTGGCTAGTTGAGTCGGATACTGTATAGGGCCCTGCAAGCATGACTTGATGAAGTCGAGGCAGACGCATCCGTCGAGTGCAAGAACTTTGCATTCCGCCATATGCTATATGCAACTGCCCGTGCCTCTTTTGGCTGAAGGCTCTCGACGAGTCAGGTCTCTAGGGAGGATCTGATGGAAAATCAACCCTGTGAAACGAGCCCTGGTCATCCCAATCGGTCTGCGGCTGAGAGGTCAGGAGCTGTTCCGGAAGATTGGAATTTCCATCCCCGAACCACGAAGCGTCAACCGGTCGAAACCGCGCGAGGGATGCGGAACGTGAAACGGCTGCCGAGTGCCATCTCAGACCTTAGAAGGCTGGAACAAGCACAAGCGAGATGAATCGAAGCCACACTCTGACGAGTGTTTTGCAGCCCACTCCCAACAGAATCGGACAGCTGTAGAATGGTGTAGGCGGGGGTGGCTCCGTGGAAACAAGCACCCTTCACACTTTCACTACTCAGCTACTCACTTCAATGCAGAGAATATCACGACTCTCTGGGGCAGGTGACGGCACAAGTCACGTCAATGCTCCTGCTCCCGAGCGCGACGTTCCATCATTTAACCAGTTGTTGGACAGTCTTAGTCTTCTCTTCGGGAAAAGCGCACTTCTGAGGTAGGGATCCAGACAGGAAGCTCTGAGGCTCTGAGAAGGAGTTGAGCAGTGTCGGGCTTGGAGCACTGTGTCTACGGTGTGAGAGTTCTGGCTATGAGGCCCCATTCTGCCCATTCTGCCCATTGTGGCTGCCATCAGAAGGAAGCCGATTCTCCCTTTCGAGCCCCATGTTTCGAGGTTGCCCTTCTCGCGCTCCCGTCCTCCGAGTCTCGAGTCCTCCACGCCAAGAAAGACCTTCCAAACCGGCAGCTGGGCCAACTTCACCACACGTTACTGGTAATCATGACATCTACCCCAATCAACCCAATCGAACTTCACGCGTTTACAGGGACTTTGCCAGCACTGTGAATCGCTACTGCACATCGCTGTCGGCCTTCCAGATGATGGCGGCTGCACTTAGGCCGACGCAGCCCAAGACCTGCCGAAACCATCGGAGGCCGTCTCGCGGCGTGGCGATGGGATGCGATGGGCACATGAGATTCTGACGGCACAGTAAAACATGTCGGAAAGGGATCGAATGATATCGAATGGCCTCTTTGTGTGCTGCTGGGCCCTGGCTAAGGAGCTTGGGCCGGATTGATGTGTAGATGGCCAGCAGAACTCCCAACCTTGCGGATATCACTGATATCACGGTTCTTCACCTGGTACACCTGGTACGCAGTACCGCACTTGAGCCCTGGACAGGCAGATGAACCAGGAAAGCATGGCCCACTCCAACCTCAACAATCCGTCTCCTCTCAATCGCAGAAGTTCGCAGAAGCCTGAGACATATCCGGCAAGTCGACCTGGAAGCGACTCAGGGTCGAACAGGGAGAGGATGGCATCGAAGGCAGCAGACCAGCAGCGACAACTGGCAAGTTAAGACAAGCTAAGGCTAAGGAGGTTTTGGTGCCAGTTTCGGGCCTCACCCCCAGCTCTTGCCAGTTTTGGCTTTTGGGATTCTGGGGTCCGCTCTGAGTGTCAGCTCGGGCCATTTCGGCAAAAGCGCTTCGAGACTTGGTTGATAGCAAAATCATGGAACGATTGCCGTACCCTAGAAAGCGAGCTCTAGAAGTAAGGCTGGGCATCATCACATCATTATTCTCATCATCATCATCATGTACACGATATCATTGAACAATGCACTTGGAGTCGTAAATGGTGTGGTGTCCTGGCAAAGAGGTGCAGAACAACGTTCCCCATTCTTACTTTTGCTTTTGCTCTCTTAAACCTCTGCACGACAAGGCCCTTAAACCCTAAACTTCCTAAATCCAATGCATCGCAAAGGGGTCATGACGCTTGGGCATTCGACGGAGTCAAAAGCTGGACCTACTTGACTTGGAGGCTCATGGGTAGATAAGAGTTTTAGGATGTTGGGATAGCCCCCTCCGCTCTCATGACTCTCCGCGCTCTCACAGGCACCCCCCCCCCCCCCACGAAATCGTGGGGTTGCTCAGGTGGCTCGTGATGGAACGAGCAAGTGCAGCCACAGAGACGGGGTGGAGCCCGAAAGTTGTTCATCTCGTCTGGTCAAAGGCTCTCACATGCTCGCAGCTCATCTTCTGGACTCTACTCATCTGGACCATGCCGGCAGGACTACAGCTCGTCCCTCTCCTCAGCGCACTGTGGCAGTTGCTCATAGCATTTGTCAAAAGATGTCAAAAGTCAGTTAAAGCAGTTGAAGCTGTTTCTTGGCACTCCATATCGGAATCAGATGTGAAGTACATCAGATCTCAGGTTCATGCCCGCGGCGAACTCCACATGGACAGGGCCTTTGCCGACTTCTGGCACGCCTCCGCGAATGCCGCGAAATCGAATGAGACCGGGCGCGCCCCCCCCTTCAAAGGCCCCCAAGGCCCACTTTGCACCCTTCAGCAGCGCAGTGGCAAAGGCCTGCACACGCTTGTGGCTACTCCGGCCCGGAAGGTCCAGCGGCTGGCAGAACTCCTCAGTCGCTCCGAGCCGCTCCAAACAGTGCTTTGCTCAAGTGGCGCTGTTTCATTGCCATCATTGCCGCGCAGCGATGCTCACAAGACTCTCACAATGACAAGTCTTCAAGTCAGTCCTTTGCCACCACTACTGGCAGGACTCTCTTCTCGAGAGTGCACCTGCGAGAGGGAGCGAGAGGGAGCAGAGTGGTCCCATCAGTCAACCGCCTGAAGCTGAAGCGGAGAAGAAAGGCTTCTGCTCTTTCGCCGCGCACATCGGCCCCTTGAGGGCCTGATCTAGAGGGCCAGCTAGAGCCAGAAACTGAAATGATTACGATGCTTTCAATGTTCTTTCGGTTCCTGGCTCCTGGAATTGGCTTGCACATGGCCCACGATGCGGGGAAAACGGGCGCGTATTGCATTTACAGAGACTGTTGTTTTTTCCACTTTCGGCCTTCTGACTTTCGAGGCGCGGAAAGTGCGTACAAAACGGAGACCTCAGAGACTGCAGCGTGGCACGGCCCTCAGACGAGCATCGAATATGTTGAGCTGTAGCTGCCACTGCGGACCACTGTCGCGCTGAAGCTCCAAAGTCACGAACGTGGTGAGACACCGTGGAGGGTTTAGTTTAGGAAAGGTTCCATATATGACGATCATACAGGGCCTTTGTGACTTTGTGGTGGTAGAGGGGTTTGGTAGCTTTAGCAGATTTCAGGGGCCACGCCAGCTCCTCCAGCCATGCTCCCGAGTCAAACTGACTGGGGCTCTCTTGCCAGTCCAATTCAGCAGCAGCTGCCTTTGGTCGTGAAAGCTTCCTTTTGGAAGCCGGCAACTCTAGCTGCAATTTGCGTGTCTTTCAAGACATGACCCCTCTCCCGCAAGCCCCCACAGCCCTGGCGTCCCTCGACCCAGGAACATTTGCAGAAGGACCGCAAGGGACCCCTCACCCTTCTCTGGCAAGCCGCGGCTACCGAACACAGCGCTTCTTGGTTGAGGTAAGAGTCGCTCCCACACTTTACTCTGTCCCCATGTACAATTCCCCTCTCCCAAGAATTTGGCTTGCGTCACGGAGTGCCGGGCTCATCTAGTTCCGAACCTCCAAAGGACACGCAGACTGTCAGACTTTGGTGGCTTTCAAGCGCCGTCCGAACGTGAAGCATATAGTTGAATATAGTTGACATTCATGGTGCAGCAGTCCACATGGCACAGTGGCGTGAAATAGGGCGGCCTGCTTCGTGAGCTTCGCGAGCCTTATTCCTCCCTTCCGCGAAGGCCATCGCAGCCTTCTGGACCACAGCCGTGCGGCGCACGATGCCCTGGAGGCCTCGGATGGGTGAAACATTTGCAAACAAGCCAGCAAACCAGATCTGCACGACGTTTGCACGACCACCTGACGGCTTGCAAATGGCATGGGCGCTTGAGGAGAGGGCACTTGGTCACACGGTCGTGCTCCTTCTTGCTACTGCTTTGCCTGGGGTGGAGATGGGCGGAGTCAGAACATGTCAGAACTACCTGATACTGCACCACTCTCGAAGTTTGTCAGCACCAGCCCTGGCACCTGCCGTCCGCCACCAAGGACATCAGCGTCCGATTGCCGCGGCGGGGTGAAGCTGCAATGTGCGGGTCATTGCAGCTCATTGCGGGTCATTGCGGGTCATTGCCGTCACTGTCACTGCAGAGCACATGATGACAGTAGCACAGTAGCGTGGAGTAGCCAAGCCTTTGGCAGCCAGCAAGGGCGCAGAACTGGAGTTCTTCATCTTGTAGCTGCCCAAACCGCCTGGAAGTGTTTGTGTCGAACACGCAAAGAGACGAGAGAACCTTTAGCCGCCTCGAAGAACAGCAGGTGAAAGCAATTCCGAAGCTTGCAGGATGGACCTGGACAGCAATGACATGCTGAGCAATTATGCCTTTCATGAGCAATCTGGGAATACCTGTTCTCATTCCTGGAATCATACCTCCTAGTAGCACTATAGATTTGACTCTTGGCGTGCGGGCCGGGCCTTGGTGAGCTACCGCTCTCGTGATGGATGCCTGGAGAAGAAGGAAACTGCAGCCTAAACCCACTGACAGCCCGTGAAAGCCCCATTGGAAACTATGGGGCAGATGCAGCAGAGATGTGTTGACTGGCAGCGGCATCCCTGCAGTAGTGAATCCTTCGGTGACAACGCACCTGCGCTCTCTACTCTCTACCCCTCTTTTGCCTTTGGCTTCCTTTCTGCCCGCTCGGCTGATGCTTCCCAGGATGCTGTTGGGTTTCCTCCTCCCACCCGTCCCTGCTCCCCCCTGCACCCCTGCTCCCTCGTGAACTGAGACAGAGGAAGCTCCGTGCGAGCCCCCGAAGGAAGAGAAGGAAGCGGGCAAGCGCTTGGAGGATGCGTTTCCGTGCGGAAGAAGTCACAGCATGCAACAGTGGCTCAACGCAAAAGCTTCATGCAGATGTTTTGATACATAGCTCCATGAGGAACCAGCCCCAGCCTTCGAAATCACCTCGCGGGGTTAAACTCTTTTCTGCCACAAGTGCACAACTGCAAGCTGCACAAGTTGCACCAGTCACTACACGGCTCACGTGCACGTGCCGTCCGCCAAAACGTGGCAAAGGCAAAGGCCCAGGCGAGGCAGCCAGGACGTCTTGGACGGCCAGGTGTGACTCATGCTGTGCATCTTGCTCCGTGGGCTCGCCTCAGTGACTCAGCTTTCATAAGAAAGACCATGAGATCCCCGAAGCATGTGGAAACATGTTGGCACATGCAACACGCATGATATGTGCATGTCTCTGCTAGCTGTGCTTTCTCCATATGGCTCAGCCAAGGTGCAGCCATGGACCTCCAAGTATGTCCAAAAGCACGGCTGCGAGAATGAAACCGACCAACACAAACTTAGACTCTTCTTCTGAGACTCTTTGAGGCTCTTCGACTCTTCGTCCGCCCCTTCGTCTTCGCGCCTTTCGCTGCTGTAACCTGTCGTACGCGAGCCCCCGGAGAAGCGCCGGCGGCCTGCCGAAAACCGTGGAACGGTGGTGGGAAAGGACGGACTGTGCATGTCAGTAATGTCAGTATACATATCCACATTTGTCTATATCTTCAGTTCAAAACTCAGGCGCTGTGAGCAGTTTTCGTCGCTCTTTGCCTCGGCCCTCGCGCGGGGACCGCGGGGAACGGTGCGCATAGCGGGAGAGGACGACCGGCGGGTAGTTGCTGCAGGCCTCCTGCGCCACCTTTGCCGAGCTGGGCTTCTGAAGCTTCAGGCAGGGCGGCGCAAGTAGCTTGAGGCGTGCGGATCAACGAAGCTCTGTTGCAAGCATATGCACAGGTTGCCAAGCCCCCCCCCCCCCCCCCCCCCACTGCCCAAGCCAGGCCATCAGCCTTCCGCGCCAGGAAGGAGGCCGGGCTAAGGGGCCGCTTCAGCCGGCGCAGGGCTACAGCCTGCAGCGGGGTTTCGTCCTGGCAAGGGCAGACGACGCAGCAAAAGACACATCGCATCACATCACTGCATGTACACATATTGACATATTGTACACTGGAACCCTCATGTCCTCCCCGGCATTGATAGTCGTGGCTAAGTCGGAAAGGCACGCCTCGGTGTTCCGCTATGTGACTATATGGCACTGCGTCTCTGTCTCTCTGTGTCTCTGTGTCTCTGTGGACTCCCAGCTTCAGAGCTTCAGCCCATGCTGGTCTCTGTACGACGACAAAGCTGTTGAGGGGGAAAACCGTGTCCCTTGGGGCCCGTGGACATACACATCATACACGCCGCATCTGCAACCACAAGGAAACCACAGCACCAGGTCCATCACAAGATCTACGTCGGGTGATGCTCCGACATTCTGTGGTTGATTTGAAGCTCAATTGCAGCAAATTGCGAGTCTTGGCACTTTGAAGTCTTGACAGCATGTCATTGTCAACGTTTGTAACGCAGTGTGCAACAGGTTGTCCTGAACTGCCGCTCGAGAACGGTGTTCCAGGGCCGAAGGCTGAAGGGATCGCAAGGAGGTAGAACATCCATCCGGTCATAGGAAGCGGGTCTTAAAGCTATGACGGTCTACACATGCCCAGACCTGACCTTGTTGCTGCCTTCCTTCAGCTGTCCGGTCTGAGGCTACAGAAAGTAGCGGAGCGTTGGCTTTCTTACTGCATGCATTGTTCCAGCGCATGCCTGCCAATATGTACTTGCGACTTATGTTGTGCATTGTCCCCACCCAACTGACACAACGACATGTTCGCTGAGGGACTTGGTGCCCTCGCGTCTTTCTGCGCTGTGAGCAAGACCAAGCAGCATGCCCCAGAATGGACTGATAAGGCCAATCAATCTCTCCATGGCGCTCTGCGAGCAGTGTCAGCAGTGTGCAATTTCAAGCGCAGGCCTGACAATGTCTGCAGACTCCTGGCCCAAACAGATGTTTCAGTCGTGTCGATCTCTCCAAGCTTTGCAGTCGCAGGGTGTTTGAAGGAAACGCGGCTGGGGTGCCATTGGACACTGCTTGTAGTCCAGCATGGAGACGAATGATGCGTGAGACGCCTCGTCTGCTTACCATTAGCCATGAGCAACATCACGCTCACACACTGATTGAAATGCTGTGGCACCGTGGTGTGCAAAGGCTATTTGGATGCCCTCATATGCCCTCACAGCCTTGAAGAGCTGCCGCTGCATCTCCACCTTCTGCTCCTCTGCTGCGGCCAGCGGCACCTCCTTGCCGGAACAAGACTGAAACAACACCATCTCTTCGAGCTGGGCACCGTGCTCGTCTGCCCACTCTACCTCGCCCACCCTTAAGCCGACTCTTTTTGAACTCTCCCTTGATTCCGTCCTCCCAGGTGCTGAACTCGGCGAGCGCCTGCACGAGCTCCACCTCGCGAGGAGAGCGAATCAAGGCGGGCGCGCGCGCGCGCGCGGTGAGTGGGAAGGTCTGACCCTTTGATCGGTTGGAGTATGTTGCAGTGAAGGTCGTTACTATCCCCCGCCTGAGACACCAGAAGCACGGCTGCGCAGACAGCGTACGCCAGAGTCCGCGAAGGCAGTCCAGGCCTCCGCATGACGCTGAAGCCTTGGCAGGCTATGAGCACTCGCAGAGGCAGTTCGGTCAGGTGGACATGTTGAAGCAATGCCAAACACTGCAGAAAACTGAAAACACAGAAACTGAAGTTGAAAAATCAAAGTTCCGTGCCTTTCGCTGCGCAAAGGCTTGAGGGCCGGGCCCAGGGACGCCGTGAAGCACAGAAAGAGCGACATGATCCTGCGACTCAGGTTTGCCGAGATTCAAGCCACCACTCGTTGTCGTCACTCCACTTCCTCCCCCCCTTCGGGATCTGCAGTACTGTGCAGACTCCCAGTCCCAGGCACGAAGACGGCCCAGGTGTCGAAGTCCACCTGGGACGGCAGCCAAGCGTCCAGGAAGCCGGCCTGGACGAGACTAAATAGGGGGAGGAAAAGCATAAAGGGGTTTGGGTGTGAGGGTTGATAGGGTCTAGACTATGGGTCAAAGTGTGAAGCTCACGTCCGCCGTGCCTCTAGAAACGGGGCCAGGAAGAACTTCAAGACAAGCAGGTAGGATTGCCAGCTGGTCCTCGCCATGTCTCCTTGGCATTGCAGACATTGCAAGGACTTCCGCTGCCGCAAAGCGCAGCATCACAGGCCAGGCTTCCCGACGAAGGGAAGCCCATTGGCCCTGCCAGTCGGTGCACTCATGTCGCAGACATGGCATACATTCACGTTCTTAGTGCATTCGCCAGCACATCAGAATCTAATTCTAAGCATTCAGCACCTGCTGATGAAAAAACGTCAAGGTGTGGAAGCTCTGAATGAGCACCAGACTCCTGGCTTGCTGGCTGTGCACATGCTTCTATCCAGCTGCAATCGCTGAGAGATCGTGCTCAAATATCGTGCTCAGACAAGAGAGAGAGAGAGAGAGAGAGAGAGAGAGAGAGAGAGAGAGAGAGAGAGAGAGAGAGAGAGAGAGAGAGAGAGAGAGAGAGAGAGAGAGAGGGAGAGAGGGAGAGAGAGGGAGGGCTCAAGCAACGACCAGCAATGACCTAATGACTTGCCATTAACAACCCCTGCAATACAGCAAATAGAGCCCCACCAATTACAAAACCCAATTCCCGGGGAAAAGAAAAAACATTTGGCTCAAGAGACTTGTCCAAACTGATTTGTGTTTTCCTGCCCTCCCAAACATAACTACAGCCCCAATGAAATTGTTCGGCCCCCCTGCCGGCGGACCCTGTCAGAATGAGGACAAAGTGCACGGCGCTGGCCGTACGTCTGCCAATCTCGACCTAAGGCTCCAGCAGGACAGGGACTTGCGTGAATGGGGAAACAGGGGGGGGGGGGGGGGGGGGGGAGCGGATCGCCACGGCTGCGAGGCCCTGGAGGCTCTCGGGGCTGTCTGGTCTCGAGGCTCCGGCAAAGGCATGGCCAGAGCCCTGGAAGCACGCCGTGACATGCTACGATGAGATATCTCTGAATGTCTCTCTCACAAGAACATCTGTCTCACAAGAATACCATCTAACTAAACATCATTAAGATGCAACATGCTCAAGCAGCCGGGAGTCCGTATGGGCGATTGGATCGGCCGCATTCATTCGAACTTGACTGGATGGTTGGGGCACAAGGCCCCGGGGGCCCGAAGTACAGCGTAAGTCTGAATGTGAAATCTTGCACTTTCTTGTGGTCTAAGCATCTGCCAGGCCAACAAACTCAACAAGCTTGCCCCTCGACTGTGACTTTACACCCGACTCCAAAACTCTACAAAAGCAGCATATGGCCACCACAATGCAACTACAGCATGTGGCACCGGCGACTGCGGCATAGAGGCATCTCTGTGTCTGTGAGCCCAAACGCATCCAAACAGAAACAAAAAGAAGGAAGACTTGAGGAGGGCTAAAGGCAAAAAAAGTCAGCGCACCTGACAGCCAACAACAGCCCTCGTCCCATTAGGCGATTTCTTGTACTGAAGGGAGAATCTTAAGTTGAAGGCCCCCCTCTCGTGACCTCTCCTGATGCGCATTCTCCTAAGGAGAACGACAGTCTTGTGTCCAGCCCACACCGGCTGGTCGGATGACTGATCAGCAGCTGCATTTTTTTCGTGCGGACAGGTCCCTTTCTGTCCCCCCCCCCCCCCCCGCCCCCCCACCCCTCCCAGCCCTTTGAGACCTCCCAAATTCGGGGGTCAGCATTCCGGAGGCCGTTTTATTGTGGGCCATTCTAGAGGATTGTTGCGCTCTGGGACCTCCTTGGAACCCCTCTACCACCCCCTTGAAACGCAAGCCTCCCCTTGGCATCCCGCAAGCTCAGTGCTGGTGCAAAGTTTCGGGTGTACGGGCCTTGGTTCCTTGATTAGCAACCTCCCGCATCCAGGAGGAAAGCCTGAGACAAAAACAACGATGTCCAAAAAGAAACGAGGGTCGAACAATGTCGAAAAGCCATGGCTTTGCGCGCGAGTCGTGTGATGATCCGCGTTATCCTGTACAGCGGTCCGGGAAAGTTGACCGTTTTGGCCTGGGGGACCTGAAGCCAAAATGAGTGCTGAGGATTCAGGAAGTTGACATAGTCGACTTGACTTCGGGATTCATACCAATGAATGCATGGGCGATCCAAAAGCGGGGTTGCGTAAGTCCCAAAGGAATGCTTTGCCTAGGTATGCCTGCGACACAGTGGTTGCTGAAGGACGTCTGCCCCAATGAAATGCAATGTTCATGGGTTTGTTGGAGCTGAACCGATGCAGCCTGTGGCCACAGAAATCCCTGGGGCTGTTGGATGGCGTCATATTGCCTGCTTGCAGGATACCCCGATCCCCGCGCGATGCTCCAACGATACCCACGGTTTTCGCATGTCAAAGACCAACCCCATGTCGACCGAAGTCATAACACCTGTTCCCAAAGCAGCCTCGATCAAAACGCATGCTGCTCCAATAAACAACTGACAGATTTTGGGTGCACCGATGCACCTCCCTTGCTCCTCTACGGCGGGTTAAGAAGAACCTGCGCGGACAAGAAAAGTCATGAGCCATGAGCAGCGCCTCTTTGTCAACACATGCGGAACTCTTCTCGGTGTCTCGAAGACCCTGAAGAGATCTAGAAAAGACTTCGACCGAAGGCCGTCGGAGTTTCATGTTTCCTCCTGCCATTTACAGCCGTTACCGGCTCAAAGTACAATCCGCCGTGCAGGTGCCATCATGATGGACATCAGGTGCCTTTTTGTGGAGCCATTGCACAGCGGCCGACCGCGTTTTGAACTCCTGCTGTGCCCTGTCGGCTTGAAGCACGGTGCGAAAGATACGAATGATGCGAAAGCCTGGGATTCGATCATCAAAAGGAGCCGAGCCAGTCCGTGTCAGAGACTTCCCGGCATCCCCATCGGATTGGGAGGCTCAGCTTCGAAAAGCTGAAGGTTGCGGGTTTAGATGGGTCGATAATTTGATGGCTTTGGATAGGTGCAAGACGTTTAAGAACTGTTTAGATCGATCCTTTCGGGGTCGAAAGCGCGCAGCTCTCCGGTCTGCTTGAGGGAGGGTGTGGATCGACGTCCGGAGATGCGACCGTGAGGAAAGCTGCCAAAGTGCTCAAGTCGAGGTTGCGCGGCAAGGAAGCGTAAGGGCCGAAGGGACCGGAACGGGGGCACTTTGTCTAAGCATTGGAGAGGCAGCCACTGTCGCAGCTCTGCAAGACATGTCGCTCTCCGAGAGCGTGCGTCCTCCCATCTTGGGATGCACCTGAAGGCCCTGAAGGCCTACATGTCCCTACAAGACCTGGCCGCAGCCAAAAAGGCGGCGGGCTAAGCAACTGTGGGGTGCTTCGGAGTGCAAGGACTCGCCGTATATGATAGACGTGACATCACCATCGCAAGCGCACTCGGCAAGTGAATTTGAGGGAGCCGCAAAGAAAGTTGGGCAAACTGCTCACAAGCTTTGTGCAAGTCGGTCTGCGGCAGTGCTCAGAAGAGCAGCACATGCAAGCCCAAGGAGCTGTTGGCAAGAGCCCAGCTTCTAAGCTTCAGCGGGGGCAATCTGGCAGACCCAAGTGACTCCAAATGTTCAGCACTTGAGGCTATGGCGACTTTGGCGAGCCTAGAGACTCCCTCCAAAACTTGCCTGGTTCACGAGCCCTCTCTACAAAGCCCCTGCAACACGTTCTGTGACACCGTTCTCTATCGCGGTCAGAAACTCGGCGGTCACACGCAGTCACGAGCTCTGCGCCCGGCGACGTGCGCAAATGCTGTTCATGCCCCTGATCAATCCGCTTGGGGTGCGCGGCCGCGCAGCCTCTGAAGCAGGATGCAAACAGCATGCAGTATGCAGGCGCAAAAGTGGCTAAAGCTGCGGCCCTGGCCAGACCCGCGCAGTCTCTTGAACAATGCCCTGTTCGGGTTGTAGTCCTGGCCGAACTTCTGCCGCACCCTGTCAGACCGTGTAAATACATGATTGTGGCCAGGAGCGGCACTTGAGCAGTTTGAAAACAAACAGCAAGCAACAAACCTCTCAACCTCTGGATGCGCTACTTGAGCTTGTCTTTGATAGCCTCGAGCACACGCTATGCTTGCAGAAACAAGCTTGTGTTTCTGGAAACTTCAACTCTCTAGGTTGCCTGTAAAGTTCCCAAATCCCAAAACTAAATCAGAGGAGTAGAGACAGGCAGAACCTGTATGGAAAGAGTGCACGTCACAACTGAAACAAAACCCAGAGCTTGCAAGCAATGACTAGACTCTTTGGCTGCGGTGTGCTTGGCCGTTGGGCCTAGGCATAGACTCGCGGGCATGGCACGCTCAAGGCCTTTATGCCATACCATCTTGGCACGTCCGAGACCACGACGCGGGCGCTGCTAGCACAAACGCAATAGGAGCAATGCGAGCAAGGCGAGCAATGCGAAGAGTCCGCACAAGCTGCCGGCCAAGGAAACTTGGGAGAAGATCTCTTGCAGCACTTGCAGGATCGAACATCGGAAGAATGACTTGACAATCGGTGGGGCAGGCTCAAGAATCGAGCTGCTACTCTCCACATGAAGCATGGCCAGCGCACAAAGCTGAGCTTGGTCGGCTCAGGCATAGTCTGTAGACGATGTCATGAAACATCCTAGCTCGGCTGGTCTGGAACCCAAAACATGCCTGGTTCTGCCTTGCGCTTTGCTGTGAACGTGTCAGGCACGGCCGGAGCCTTTCGGCGAAATCTTGCTTTGCGCAGGCGCACTCGGGTCTGAGTCTGGGGCGCACGCCCAACAGCTGAGAGAGAACACAGCTCAATCCGAGTTCGAGGGCATCAGCCTCAACCGTATCAACCTGTCGATCGCCGGTGGGGACTTGCTGGCGCAGCCGGCGTCGCAACACCTCAAGGCACAACTGCGGATCCGCTGCACCGCCGGCGACGTTGTGCTGATCGCGCCGCCGGTGCCGTACGTAGCAGACGCTTCAGCCAGAGCTGGAGCCACGGCCAGGCACAGCTTGGCAGAGTATCCGGAGGTGGCCCTTGTGCAACCCGGGCAGCCAGTGAGCCAGCATGCAAGATGCAGCTATCGACAGCTTGTGACCAGTCTAGGTGCTTGTAGGCGCGTTGTGCAGGCGTGAGGAGGCGACGCCAGGGAGCTGTTCCTGCGCAAGCTCTGGCAGCTTCGGGCGAACCTGCCAATGCCCATATCAAGAGGCACCGCAGCTGCTCGGATCTGAGAGGCCCCTTATGAATGAGTCCCTGGAGTGGACTCTGAATGAAACAAGAAACGTCAGTTAAAACCCCTTTGGCCCTGGCAGAGGCTAGTGGAAGCCATCACTTCCAAGGCATAAGGATCGTAGAGTATACCAGGAGGACACTTTGAACTTACGGACTTATAACCCACTTATAAGTGACTTAGGTTGGAGTATTTATAAGTGAGTTATAAGTAACTTATAAGTAACTTATAAGTAGACCTAAGTCCTACAGGTTTTCACAAAATTGTATTTTGTACGATCGCCGTCCGTTTGCCAGGAATGGTGATTTTCGCATCCCATTTTCGCAACCGCCAACTGGACACTCTCGCACGTCCGACGCAGGCAGCGTAGCCCGTGCTGGCGGCGTTGGGAGACTGCCTTGCTCAAGCGGCAATTGTGGCACTGCAAGGTTTCCACCGTCTGCTCGGCTTGGGTTCTGGTAGCTGGGTTTGGGGTTGAGGGTATATATAGGGATCCAAAGCAGGGAGTGGGGCGTGAAAAACCTGGCCCTACATGTGTAGCCCCAGCAGAACACATTGTTTTGGCCGCGCGGACATGCTCTGTTAGGCAAAGGCCTATACTGGGGCCGAGGAGGCCGCGGACATCCGCGGACATCCGCGGACACCCGCGGACATCCCGCGGACATAGCCCGGGAGCTCTCCGCAACTCACTGCTCCGCAAGCACGTCGGCGAGAAAAGCGAGGATCTCGCAATTGGCAGCGCTGTCCGGTATTTTATCAGGGTGGCAAAAGGATGCTGCGGAACGTAGAGCAGGATGTTAGTGAGTTTGTGTGCGTGGCCCGGCGCGTGGAAACATGACGCACTGGTGCGGCTGCCATAGCGCGGCTACAAGTGGGAAAACGGACAAAACCTTGAGGCTGCAATGGCAAGTCGAGCTACAAGGAAAGCC